ATTATTCTGTGCAGCTCTGATTTTTGTACAACTGGTAATTTCAGGCAGTTGTTTAGGATACTCAACCTCGCTCGATACATTTGGAGAGTTTCCTGGGTTGACTGAATGGTCGCGAAAACATCTGCAATGGAAGCGTTCTGATCCTGGGCCACGCGAGATAGAATGTTGAGGACATTGATGACATCCAACAAGAAATGGGAAAACTTAACGACGTCTGTTTTCAGAAGGAGCTTTAAGAGGTCTTTTGCTTTCTGGTGGTTTGAAGAGCATGGCTCTTCTTGTATCTAGAAATCAGCAAAAAATAATCATTAAGCCATTGATTTCCCTCCCCCACAATCCAGTTTTCATTCCCTTCCCCCTCCACTGGTGATTTTTTAAACAGTATTTACCTCACTCATGTGTAGGACAATTGCAGGGTACCCTTTAAGCAGAATTTGAAGAGCAGTTTGTAGACGAAGGAGCCATCGGGAACCACCAATTCGAGAAGGAATAGCCGGCCTCAATTTGAGGGCTTTGTACGCTAGCGTAAGATTGTTTTTATCCAAGGGTGAGTTTTGGTAAAAATAGTACATATTTTGCAAGAGACCCATGAGAACAGTGTACAGATGAGTGCTCTTCAAGGTTTCCTTGTAGGCCATTTCAAGCCGATGCACAAGGCAATGTACACTCTGAACACGTGGCTGGATTTCTTTCAAAAGTTTAGCCACCCCGTTATTTTGTCCAACCATGACATCTGCCCCATGACTCCCAAAGCCAACTAGCTTCCTTGCCCAGTCTTGGCTTGGCAGATGGAGCTGCAGATTGGTCTGTAATATTTTCAAAATGGCATTTTTCACCGCTGAAGCATCGTACTGGTCTACCGACTGAACCCCAACGATCTGACAGTGGACCTTCCCTTGGTAGGCAAAGCGCACATAAACAAGGGCAGCTTCTGTGCTCACGAGGTCTGTGACTCCGTCACTAATGAGCGAGAAGAACTTGCATTGGTCTAATTTCTCCTTTAAGGCCCTTCGCTCCACTTCTGCAATGAAATGAGTAAAGATCCTCGCCGCCTTGTCGTTTCTAAATATAGAGCCGATATCCACACCCTTCATATCATCCAGCTTGCACATCCAGTCCAGGTCTGTGAAGGGACGCCCAGTCTTGGCAATAGCATGGCATGTCCTGAAGAGGTTCTCTATTCTTCCTAAGGCTGCTTTGCTCATGTTCTTTAATATCTGCTCAGTGCTCGCTGTATCTGGAGCAGAAGAGCTGGCCGCTTCCATACAAGTTGCCCAAGCGTGAGCTTCGCTGCTTTCATGCTCCATGACGAATTCGATTCTGAAATCATCCGTCCCCAAACAAAAGTTGTGCGTGGATTCTCCTAAGTCCACATTATGCTTCCGACATAAAGCACAGTACATCGTGTTTCTTCCGCTGTCGTGCTTCAGCCAAGAGTACTTTGACAGCCATATTTCTGGAAACGCGTGGTTCTTCTGCGATTGCTTGACTGGAGCTACAGTCTTCTTTTTCATTTGCTTCAGAACTGCCAAAGCTATAAACATTTTAAACATAACTAGGCATGAAGAACATAAGAACATGAGAGAAGCCAATGTTGGATCAGGCCAATGGCCCATCTAGTTCAACACTCTGTCACACCGTGGCCAAAAATACCATCAGGAGGTCCAGCAGTGGGGCCAGGACACTAGAAGCCCTCCCACTGTTGCCCCCCCCCCAAGCACCAAGAATACAGTTTTATTAAAAGCTTTCTGGAAGTCAAGGTAAACAACATCTATTGGGTCCCCCTTGTCCACATGTTTGTGGTTTAATTTGCATTAAAATGTTTTGTTATTACGCTTGCAACATTTCACGTCCATTTTTCTCCCTTCCCTTTCTCCCGCCAGCTTTGTTACTCGTTATATTCAGGAATACTATGAACATGTACTCATTATAAAAGAGGCACACTCAGAGCTGGGTGAAGTTTGAGTCCAGTGGCACCTTTAAGACCAAGAACGTTTAATTCTGGGTATAAGCTTTCGGGCACATGCGCCCTTCTTCAGATACATTGAAACAGACTTCTTCAAGCATTACAGATAAGTAGAGAGAGGGTGGAGGGGGCTAGTTGCCAGGAAGGGCTAATTAGAGTCAAGATGCATAAGTGAGTGAGCAATAAGTATAGCTAAGATTGGATTAACGCAGTTGGGTGTACTCTTGTTAAAAATGATTGCATTTTTTCACCCCCTACAGTTCTATATCATGCATAACTTATGTACCATGAGCACAATTACATGATTTCTTAATTTGCATAATTTATTCTGCTTTTATTGTTTTGCATAATTTATTCTGGGTATGCTACCCGTGCATGGTTGCAAAGGATGGCACGTGGCCCTGAAGCCTGACTCCCAACCACTGCAAATCTTATTCACCTTGATGGTTACTGAAGTTTTACCAGACGTTGCCCTCGTTCTTTCAAGCACTTCTTTCTGCACCCATAAAGAAAAATGGAAGCTGAGGTAAAATTCTGCACTCTTTCTCTGCTCTTGCAGAACCACTGCATTAAAAAAAAAGTAGCCCCTGAAATACGATGAGGATAAATAAATGCTGGGCTTGGCTGGGTTTGGGCTTCCATCAGGGTTGCCAGACGTAGCTGACAAGCTGCTTGGGTGAGTCTGGGGGCAGGGACAATCTTCTTGATATTGAGCTGATGCACAGTGTCAGTTCTAGCAAAACAAAAACTCAGAAGTGACATCGTTATGCGGGGCTGATGCTCTAGGATTCACTCCAAACACTATGCAGCCTATTTTACATCTTCCTCCTTGTAAGGAAGGAAGCGGAAGGGGTGCGTCACAGCAACTAATCCCTGGATACCATAATACATAGGGAGGAAGTGTCAGGTACTGCACAAGAACTTGCACAAGTGGAACAGCGCTAAGTCCTCCTGTGTTTCCACTTGTACATCTTGGAATCCAAGCATCTACCGGTAGGTGATCACTTAGGGATGTGATGGGAATGACACTAAATTTGTTGCACAAGTGGAACAGCGCTAAGTCCTCTTGTGTTTCCACTTGTGCATCTTGGAATCCAAGCATCTACCTGTAGGTGATCACTTAGGGATGTGACGGGAATGACACTAAATTCGGAAGTGGGGCTGCATCAGCAGGTTGTGGGGGAAACATGGGAAAAGATGGCAAGCCAGGCCATCTGTGATGGATCCTCTTCCCCTTGATACTTGCCGTTTCAGGCCCAGCCTACATGAACTGGTCTACATATTCAAGAAAAGGAATAAGAAATGCAGGCCTAGTTTAGAGCTCTCCTGATTTCCTCCTCCTTATAGCAGGTGCATAACAAGAAAGTACTTCTGATTTCCCATAGATGAAGTAACTTTTGAAGTCAGACTCACAGATTTCATGACCTCTGTGGTGTGAGTCTCTGCTACGGTTGCCACTGACAGGTACGGGATGGACTTCTCCCGGAATTACAACTGTTCTCCAGATTACAGAGATCAGTGCTCCTGGAGGGAACAGCAGCTGTGGATGGTGGCCTCTGTGGCATCACACCTGTGCTGAGCTCCCTCTCCTCTCCAAACTCCTCCCTAGACTCCACCCCTTAGTCCTCCCTAGAGTCCACCCCCAAATCTCCATTAATTTCTCAACCTGGAGTTGGCAAACCTGGTGACCTTCAGAGTTCATTGCTCTCACTTCCTTCTTTTAATTACTCACTGAGTAAAAAAGTACCTTCTTTTGTCCATACGGAATCTCCAACCCATGCATAATTTCATAAACCTCATCGTATCCACCCTTAGTTGTGCTTTTTTTATGTGGAGATACCTTTGCATGTGCAGTTTTCCTCCATGCTTGTTGAAGCAGTACAATTCCAAGTGGTGGTTCTTACCTTTCTGGCCCTAAATGGTTCCGGGGGGGGGGGGCTAGGGTACTTGAAGGACCGCCTCTGTCCATATTGCCCAGCCCACCAGTTAAGATTCTTCCTTCAAAGTCTTCAAATCAGTGGAATACATATTATATGACACCCAGGGGTCATTTCCTGCAGGAGCGCACAGGAGCAGAGCTCCGGCAGTAAAGAGCCCAGGGGGCAGGCACATGCAACAATCCCAGCCCCCTGTTCCCAGCAGCCCCAGGCCACGAGGAGCATGAGGATCTGCACATCCCCCCCCCCATTGCTAGCAATCCCAAAACAGTCTAGTGGAGCCTGAGCGGTGGGTGTTGCCTTCTGACACACTTCCGGTGTGCAAATAAGTTATTTATTCAAATACATTATGCTAATGAGTTATGTTAATGAGCTCATGCACCTCTTTTTCTATGAAATGACCCCTGATGACATCTAAAGAGCTTTCACACACATCACATGGCGGCAAAACCTCCGTCGAGTGTATAATTAACAGGAAACCACATGCAGTCCCTGATCTCTCACAAGTATTCTCAAAAGGTACATGTAGGTCACTTTTATATTCTGAGGTAGATTGGAGACAGACAATTGCTGCGCGAGAATGGAAAGTGGCTCAGCAGCAGAGATTTTGCTTCTGCTTCCTATGACACATGCAGTTTTGTCCCACTCAACATTTTGCAGGGTTTTCAGCCATTAGGAAAAAAAGCACGAGATGAACAGGGGCTGCTGACATGTATCACAAGCAACAATCCGTCTATAAAACGGCATTCAGATCTCTGGGAGGAAAATTCCCCACAAATTATTGTCTGCCTCCAGCACCTGCTAAATGTTTCCTACTGGAAAGAAAATGAATACACATTTTGATTTTGATTCTGCCCTTCAACCGAATCCACGCTTGCCATTCAAGAAGCATTTTCTGGCCCTTCTGCTTTTGGTGCGCGTGGCTCCATCCACACAGCATTGGATATTACGTTATTGTAAGAGAGACCACCAACTAATGCCCCTGTATAGATCACCGTATCTCCAAAAGGAAATTGCGGAGCTGGAAAAAATACAGAGGAGGGAAACCAAGACAACTAATTCATGTCTGCAAATGTGTAAAGAAGGCGTCTTCTTACCTCTCGGTGCCACCTGTAGAAACTGCTTATGAAGACTGCTAAGCTGCGAAATTGTTAGAGTACCATTTATAGCAGTCTCTACCGACGGAGGGCGGGGTGGGGGGACAGGGTCTGGGAACACTTTGATATCGCCATTAATGTAAAACTCCGTCCCTTCCAGAACCAGCTCGTTCTGGATTCTAGTAGACATTTCGATATGCTGACGGGCAACCTCGATTAATTTGTCAACACTGTAAAGACAATACATTAAATAAAAGAGATGATGCTTTACCATTCTAAAACTAGAATATCATCAGGCTAACAGTTCTTTCACACTCGTAGCTGTCAGGACTGCATCTAAGGGCACTTTCACACATGTCGAATAATGGACTTTCCATGCACTTTGCAATTGTATTTTACTGTGTGGAAAGGCAAAATCCACTTACAAACAATTGCTAAAAATGCATTTAAAGTGCGTTAGTCAGTGTGTATGAAAGTGTCTCAAGGGTAGAGGTATCTGTGGCCCTCAGCCATCCCAGCCAGTGCCAAAAAATTCTCCTTCCTAAAATTCGGCAGGAATTAATCTTTGTCTTTACTCACTGCCACTAAATACCTCACAGCTCAGAATTGGAAAAGCAAATCTTTACTAACTAGAGAAAAGTGGTACTTAAAAATCTGGGGATTTTTTAAAATGGACACAATTGCAGATTTTGTTTCCCAATCTGAACCTCAACTGGGTCTTTCTAATCTAACAGAAAAATGGTTTCCCTTTTCGAATTTCACAACTCAGGAATTAAGGTCAAAAAATTATGGTCTATGGTCTGGAACATCGGTATCACCATATATTGTCTCTTCTCTGACGTGATATGGAATAGAAGTCCTATAACCGTACCCTCCTACATTCTCATTTCATTTTTAGTTATTTTGCTCAGGCTGCTTTTCCCTATATTTGCTTGGCAATAGTTGTGTTTGTTTTGTATAATTATTGTTTAAAGGTTGTTTAAAGACTGTTGTAGTAGGGTGCTGTTGGTGTAATATTGCATTATTGTTATAGCTCCAATATCGATGGTGTGATTGTTATTTTTTTAACAATTTCCAATAAAATTATTAAAATTAAAAAAATCTCTTCTTGCTACGGTCTACTGCAGGGATGTCGAACTCATTTGTTACGAGGGCCAGATCTGACATAAATGAGACCTTATTGGGCCAGGCCATGTGTGTCATAAAATGTAATGCCAGGTAGCGGAGATATAAACTTTATAAAGGACACAAACACAAAGGTGGTTTTTTTACTTAAAATAAAAACATGCTTAAAACATCAGCACTCTTGCAATATTTTGTTTATTTAACAGTGTCTGATAACTGGCACCTCTTGCTCTGAATTATTGCATCAAAATGTCTGTGCTGTTGCAAACTTGAGTATGCTGTTCAGGTGTGAATCTGTAAGCTGCAAACCTATGATGACACAGCAGCAGCAGAACTGGAAGAAGAAGCAGAAGACATCCAGTTCCACTGTGCGTCTGATAGAAGCCCTCCAGGGGCCTGATCCAGCCCCCGGGTTGCATGTTTGACACCCCTGGTCTACTGTGTCCCAACTGCCACCCAAAATTCCCTCTCCCTCTCCACGCTCAGCATCTGAACCCAGAACTTCCAGATCCATATCCCACCAGATCAAATGGCACTGACTACCTCTGTGGAAGAGATACAGGAGGAGAAGGAACAGCACATGTCCCCTGAGCTTCCATTTCCTGTATCTCCCCAGAATAGAACATTCACATTTCTTTCTCTGTCTCCTCCAACTGCAGGCAGAGATGAAAGCCATCTCCACATTGAGAACTTGGATACTTTCTTATGAAGGGAGTGTCATGATTTGACCTGGGGGACCACTCGATCCAGGAAAACACCCACCCACTCCTCATGTTACGGGCTCACGGAAGGACACACACACAATGTTGGCAACATGACATGTCAAGGGCAATGCTCCCTTTAAGCTGCAGAGTCTTGTGAGCAAAAATTCTACTCTATGAGCTACTGGCATTAAAGCCATCCTTCCTGAGCTAAGACAAAACTGTGTGAGCTGGAGGCTAAGAAACTGTGAGCTAGCTCACACTAACTCAGCTTAGAGGAAACACTGGTCAAGGGGGAAGGGAGGAGAGACAGAAGCCCATTTGGCTACCCTGTCAGAAAGGGGAAGACTGATTTAATAATCCAGACTGAAACCCTAAAAACTCGTAATGAGTGACATGACCTGACTGCTCAAAAGTGGCTTGGGAGAAATGTCTTCAAAATGAAAACAAAATAAAAAATATTTTGTATGTATACCTCAAATAATTATGAAACTGTCTGTGGCTTCCCCGTTATTAATACTGATGGTGTTCCTATAGCTGATTTTGTCATTTATTCCTGTGTTCTAATTTAGTGCATGAACACCTTTGGAGACCGTTAGTTGAAAAGGGGTTCAGAGGACAGCCATGTTGGTCAGTTCAGAGACCAACTAGATTTTCAGGGTATAAAGTTTTTGAGAGTCAAAGCGCCTTTCTCCAGACTCCATCGCATTGGCGGAAAAGTGATCATGAATCTTCTGAATAAGTAATAAAGAAATGAATAGGAGTAGAGACATATGGCTGGATCCAACCAACTTCTCTGCTGGTGAAAAAGGAACAAGAGGTCCCATTTAACCACCCCAAAGGGTTACGTTTGGGCTCATGGGCTCAGCATGTGGGATTGGGGTGGTGTAGGAAGTAGGGGAATTGCACAAGATTGACTAAAAAAAGCTGACTGGATCCAATCCACAGATATGGCCCTATGCTAGAAATACTGCAATTAAAAGATTATTCACACACACACACACACACACACGATTGCTTCTTTATCCTGTTTCTCGGTCCAATCATCTAGCAAGTCTAGCTACTATGCTTCATCAGAATTAACCATCTTTTACCTGGACATTTCAACCAGGTATCTCTCTCCCAGCCATTTTTCCATATTCCTGTATGTTAGTTCGGCTTTCGAGGTTAGGTCTTCGATGAAGGCGTGTGCTTTAACTTTCAACAGCTCAAGTCGAGATTTTGCAGCCTCCGCTATTGAGAAAGTTGGTTTAGAGTAAATTAAAAAAAGAAAACACTCAGGAACTAATTCTGCATGCTTGACAACCAAACGTTAGCTCTTTCTTTATGAAACGGCTATCCCGAACCCGTTTCATCCCGAACCTGCGAATCTGCAAACGCTTAGCCACAGTTAAGTATTACATGTGGATATTTACACCACAACTATAGATTGGCAATGAACTCGATGAGAAACTAGCCCTTTTCAGTTGTTATGTTTTATTGTGTGGATGGGGATGGGGAGAATGCGCTACATACGATCCTCCTGATACGCACAATATCCATTTTGTTGGAAAGAGGCAATGTGCAAACCAATGAATACTAGTGCAGGAAAGCAGCATCAGGGGAAGGCCTCAGCCTCTGTGCCTTGTTCGTTTGGTCACCCAGGGCAACTGGCTGGTGCTAGGGTTGCCAGTCCCCAGGTCCAGGCAGGGGAAACCCTGCTCCCAAACAGCCATATCCCCACGTGACAACCCTGATGCAATGACACCCAGACGTTACATCATCATGTCAGCGATGTTGCAGGGGATGCTCTGATTTGAGGGCAAAACTCTATGGTAAATTTGCCCTCAAACCAGAGCGTTGCTGTGCAACGTTGCCAATGTGATGACATCACTTCCAGGTGATGTCATTGTATCGGGGACATCACGCAATGTCCCTGACCCCTCCAGGCATGCCCCCCCCCCAAATTTCCCTATCGGCAACAAGCTAGGACCTGGCAACTCTACTGGCTGATGTGTGAAAAAGTATACTGGACTAGATGGACCACCGGTCCGATCCAGCAGGCTCTACTCAAATTTCCTGTGAATTCTGGTTCTTGTGTACTGAAGCTGAAAATATGAGTGTTGCCTCTTTCGGACAAAATGGTAGTCATGTATTATCAGGAAGATGGTGTGCAGCATGTGTAGTAAAACATGAAGTAATGTTAGAGAATAAGCTTGATATTTGCTTTATGGACTATGTATTGCTACACACAATGGACTGTGCACACACACATAGGCTCAGAAAACTGTACACTTTAGGTCACCTGTTGGGATGCCACACATAGAAGGTGCCTGCACATACCTTACATGTAAATAAGGTTTCAGCTACACAGTTACCCAGCCTGGTGAAGAAGCACAAATCTCCATTATTGTTAGCAATGAAATAACAACTCTAGGAGGAGACAGCCCCCATGACAGAGCTGCTTGTAGTCACGTACTACCCATCACCTGCTTTGTTCCTGAGCTGGAATTTCCTGCCATATGGACATTTGGTTATCAATGAAACTGGCCAGCTTCATCAGCACTACAATGGAGCATCCTGACGCCTAGGGTTCAAACCTGTCCAGATGCCATACTCTGAGTAAGGTTTTAGGTTACAATATTGGCCACCCCTCTTAGGTTACCTCCGCTTCCCACATGCAACCAATAGGATTGTTTTTGGGACGGACTAACAGGTAGGTGGGTCAAGAGGTTTGCACAGTTACCACCCATCTCTTGGACCCCCCTATAAAAGGGTTACAATATTGGCCACCCCTCTTAGGTTACCTCCGCTTCCCACATGCAACCAATAGGAATTACGTTTGGGCTCATGGGCTCAGCATGTGGGATTGGGGTGGTGTAGGAAGTAGGGGAATTGCACAAAAAAAAGCTGACTGGATCCAATCCACAGATATGGCCCTATGCTAGAAATACTGCAATTAAAAGATTATTCCCCCCCACACACAAACACATGATTGCTTCTTTATCTTGTTTCTTGGTCCAATCATCTAGCAAGTCCAGCTACTATGCTTCATCAGAATTAACCATCTTTTACCTGGACATTTCAACCAGGTATCTCTCTCCCAGCCATTTTTCCATATTCCTGTATGTTAGTTCGGCTTTCGAGGTTAGGTCTTCGATGAAGGCGTGTGCTTTAACTTTCAACAGCTCAAGTCGAGATTTTGCAGCCTCCGCTATTGAGAAAGTTGGTTTAGAGTAAATTAAAAAAAGGAAAACACTCAGGAACTAATTCTGCATGCCAATTGCTGTAAATAAAGCAATTCGGCTAACAGTAAGATGTAACAATGGGAAAAGGCTACTATAGCTTGGAAATCATGCCTCATGTTAACCATGGTCAAGTGTTACCACTGCACTGAGAAAACCACGGTTAAGACAATTTTTCTGCCTCAACAGCATTTCTGCTCACAGACAGGTAGGTTTTACCAGTGTCTCCCTACACAAGTATTTTGGGGGCAGGGCATAGGTTAGCAAGTCATATTATGTCTGTGACGTGGCACCACCTTCCACTACCACCATCATTTCATTGCATGTTTTGGGTCTTATAACCAGGTCTAAAGGCAACAAACCACGGTTAGCTGTAACAGTGGTTTAACATTACATATGTAACAGGTTCAACTAAATATTCTTGAAGCATACTTTTTCCCGGTACTTTCCAGCTTCAAACTGCAACCACTGAATATTTCCTGGTCTTATACCTTACAGATTACTGCTTACCTTCAAGCTCCAGGGCAGTAAAAAATTCCTGCTTCAATCTTTGTTTCAGTTCTTGTTTTTTTAACTCCTCTGGGGACAGAGGAATGGGTGCTGGTTCCACCACAGATGGAGACTCTGCAAGTGAAAGAGAACATTTTGCACAGTACTGAATCTATATATACGTTGAGCTCTCTTGTGTGCATTACTATGGCATTGCAATGCCAGTTGCGAGCACCAGAGAACTAACATTTGGGGCATTTCCCAAAAACAACTGTTTCACTCAAGCTTTCCCAACACTAAAAATTCCACCATTTCTGAAGTTTCAATGTTTTATACTACGGGTTGGATCCTACCTGAAATTTTTGATGATTCCCCCTTCCTATGCCCCATCCAATAAGCATTTGGTGGCTTTCTTGACACTGCCCCCCTTAGATATATGCATAGCCACTCCTGTCACAAATAGCCTGGGTCACAGGGAAGAAAGGACTCACTCACTGCTTTAAGGTGAAGAAAGGGAGCCCTTGGCTTACAATGATTCATAATACAGCAGGGACACCTTGTCTTTAGAGCGCCCTACCCTTTCAGTGCCTCCCGGGCCTACCTTCCTGCCCTTTAGGCTAAAACATTTATTTTTACCCAGGGCTTCCCCCCCCCCAAGGGTTTCATCTGTTAAAGACTGTTTTTGGGGAGGGCCTGTAGCTTGGCATGCAGAAGGTCCCACATTCAGTCCCTGGCATCTCCAGTTAAAAGGATCAGGTAGGAGGTGACGTGAAAGACCAGTGTCTGAGACCCTGGAGAGCTGCTGTCTGAGTGTAGTCTACCAGTCTGAGTGTAGAAAATACTTATTTAATAGACTGTTGGTCTGATTCAATATAAAGCAGCTTCATGTGCGTGCTGGACAGTTTTATGGATATAATTTTAGGCCGCTGAATGCTGTTTTACGCTGTTTTTGTGGCTTGTTCGTTATCAATAATTTTATGCGGCATTGCTTTTACTTTGCAAGTTGGCTCAAGGAGGTCTCTGGAGAGATGACATATAAACTTTCTAAATAAAGAGGGCAAAATATGATGCAGGGCCAGTATGATGCATGTACGATGCAGGGCCAGTAAAGCAGATGAAAGGGAGTTTCAAGGAATCTGAGCGCCAATGTGTGGCAGTTAAAGTGTCAGACTGGGCTCTGGGACAACGGGGTTTGAATCCCTGCTCTGCCGTGGACGCTTACCCGGTGACCAGTGTTCCCTCTAAGCTGAGTTAGTGTGAGCTAGCTCACGGTTCTTTCGCCTCCTGCTCACACATTTTTGTCTTAGCTCAGGAAGAAGGGCTCCCAGAGCAAACTAATTCATGCAGTAGCCAAACCGCTCGCTCACAACTTTAATGCCAGTGGCTCACAAAGTAGAATTTTTGCTCACAAGACTCCACAGCTTAGAGGGAACATTGCCGGTGACCTTGGGGTCCATCACAATCTCTCAGTCTAACCCAGCTCATAGGGCTAAAAGAGTGGAGGAAGGGAGAAAGCCTCTTTGGGTGATGTTTAGGGAGAAAAGCAGGATACTAATAAGAATGAAACAATATAAAATAATCACGTGTAAATTCCCTCCGTCCTCTGCTCTTCACGTGCGGAAGCGGCTGCACCAAGGTCACTGCAGCAGTCCAACTTTTTAGTTATGTCTTTTTCTTGAGCACATGTGATTTTATTCATTCAGAACCACTTTGTAAAAAAAAAAGCAACAGTTGCCCCTTGCTTACCTTTCTTTTTCCCTTTTTTGCTGTCTTTGCTCTCCTTTGCGGTCCCCTTTCCACCTTTTCCCTCTTTTCCTCCTTTGGCCTCCTTTCCGCCTTTCCCCTCCTTGGCCTCCTTTCCGCCTTTCCCCTCCTTTCCGCCTTTCCCGCCTTTCCCCCCTTTGCCTTCTTTTCCACCTTTGCCAGCAGCAGCTTGGGAGGATTTCTGGTGTTCTTTCTCTTTTATTTCTTGCTGCAGGCGCTCCTTTTCTTCCTCGGCCTCTTTGGCTTGCATTTCGGCACTGACCTGGATTTTAACAGTTACGGTCGAGTTAGTAGAAACATCAGGGACAGCAAGGCAACCGTTTGAGCAAACTGCCATTCCCTTGTTTTATGGATGGTCATAAAAATGTTAAAAAGAAGACAACGGGTATCATAAATATGCCTTTGTGGATGGTATTTATCAGCTGCAAAGTTAATGCAGCAGTTTGCTGGGGAACTACCAGCATCCACTGCTGAATGAGGAGAGGGAACTAAGAACATAAGAGCCCTGTTGGATCAGACCGATGGTCCATCTAGCCCAGCATCCTGTCACACAGAATGGCCAACCAGTTCCTCTGGAGGTTCAACAGCAGGGCACAGAGACCAAGGCCTTCCCCTGATGTTGCCTCCTGGCTCTGGGATTCAGAGGCTGACTGCCTCTGAATGTAGAGGTTTCTTGTAGTCACCATGGCTAGACCTATCCTCCATGAACCTCTCTAATCCCATTTTAAAGCTGTTTATTCTTGTGGCCATCACTACATCCTCTGGCAACAAATTCCACATTTTTTAAAAATATATTTTTATTTGTTTTTAAATCATCATTAACAATAATGAACATCAAAAGCATTAAGCAAGCAACAACAAGAGATAAGGATCAAGTCGCATCAAAAGCTTATTATGTAGCAGTAAAAACTATTTTAACATTTTTTGAACATTTATCAACCAATTAGAAAGGGTAAGAAGTGCTGGTAATTATGCTACCTCTGTCAGCAAGGCAAGTGTGAGTACTGGATTAGGTCTGGATCTTAGATGTAAAATATTACAAATTCCACATTTTAATCACTCTCTGTTCCCTTAGTGGATGGGATGGCAGAGGTATCAGGGCTGTACCCCATCACTGTGCAGGCATGCTGCCAGATGTTCAGCAGCTGTGTGTCTACATCCCATTCACTCTACCAGCACATCCGGGCACCCCCCGCCCCCAATGAGGGCTCCAGTTCCTTCTCCCCATTCACTAACACTCAGCACTCACAACTGGCAGGCTTTCAGTGGCCCAGTCTGCATCTAGCATTTGCTCCACTCTTTTACCAAACCCACACTGGAACAGAAAAAGATGAGGCTCAAAACCACATTCAGATACCCCAGGCCAACGCCACACTGACTGCAGAGTCACCCTTGAATGGCCATAAAACGGCCATACATCTATGCAGAACGCTACCATAAAACTGAGAGATCAAACAATGTGAAAGGGGCACGCAGTCCGGACACTCCCATAAAATCCGACAACCAATCAAAGTGAAAGTGGCATGCAATGTAGATAGGAATTTCTGTTCCAGCGTGGGTTTGGTAAAACAGCAGAGCAAATGCTGGACGCAGATTGGGCCAGTGATCTGCTGAAGAAACGGTCACTCTTGTTTATACAGACGGGGGTCCCCTTTTTGTGAAAACTCATTATTTAGATAGATGGACAAGTGGTTTGTTTGTTAAACTTTGCAGGTGAGGGAGGAAGGGAAGGTAAACAACTGATACAAACTAGCACTGTCCACTGATAAAGAATCTGTTAACTCAGGGGTGTCAAACATAAGGCCCGGTGGCCGGATTAGGCCTGTCTAAGGCTCTTACCTGGCCCGCAAGCAACTGGAATGTATGGAAATGTAAGAAGAAGAAGAAGAAGAAGAAGAGATTGGATTTATACCCTGCCCTTCACTACCCAAGGGAGTCTCAGAGTGGCTTACAAACTCCTTTCCCTTCCCCTCCCTTCAACAGACACCTTGTGAGGTAGGTGGGGCTGAGAGAGCTCTGACAGAAACTGCTCTTTTTCAAGAACAGCTGTGCCAGAACTATGGCTTGCCCAAGGTCATCCAGCAGGTGCAAGTGGAGGAGTGCGGAATCAAACCTGGTTCTCCCAGATTAGAGTCCGCGCACTTAACCACTACACCAAACTGGCTCTCTTTTTCATAGTATCCCTTGGAAAAAACCTAATCTTGCATGCGAGTAAATACATTTATTGGGGCTTTTGTGGGTTCCCAAGTAAAACAATTGCTTTCACTGTTAGGAATCAATTGCTTTTGTTTGTATTTGGAGTAAAAAAATAATATTGTTAATTGGGTTTGTCTGTGTCCTTTATAAAGTTTATATCTCTGGTACCTGGCTTTACATTTTATGGCACGCCTGGCCTGGCCTGACAAAGTGACAAATGAGTTTGACACCTCTGTGTTAACTGGTTCTACAGGTCATCACTTGATCAAATGTCATTGGATGTCCATGCTACCAATCACAGGTGCCTCTGAGATACTGAAGGACAGAGGTCGTTTCGGGGGGGATCGCGGGGGGATCGCAGTTCCCCTGGGTGAGGTGTGGGGGCGGGGCACACGACGAAGCCACACCCCCTGCTTCCAGCCGCCCCGCTTCTGGCCTTCATTCAGCCAGGAGGAGGCAGAAGAAGAGGGAGGGTAAGTTGCTTCCTCCCCGCCTCTCCCCACCCCTGCCTGCCTGGGGCCAGGGAGGGCCTTGGCGGGGCTTCCTCGCACTCCCGCCGGCCTTGCAGGTCCACCGCCAAGCCTTATGATGTCAGGGAGTGTGGCATATGCTAATGAGTTATGCTAATGAGTTCCCCTAGCTCTTTCTACGAAATGACCCCTGCTGAAGGAGGTGTGATAACAATGCTTTAAAATAGTTTCAGGAGGATAGCTGTGTTGGTCTACAGTTGAAGAGCTAGACTGGCGTCTAACAGCACCTTTCGGAACAAGATTTTCGGGGGACAGGCTTTTGAGAGCCAAAGCTCCCATCTTCAGATGTATCTGAAAAAAGGATCTTTGAATCTTGAAAGCTTATACCCTGAAAGACTTATTGGTCTCTAAGGTGCTACTGGACTCGAAAGCTTTAAAAGACACAGGCCAATATTCATCCCACCTTAATTTTATTCCTTAGTACAGAAATATACCAACTTAGGCTCAAAAATAGATGACCCTGTAGGCTCTAAGTGTGATCGAAACTGACCCCCAGCTGATTAGTCAATTACCGCTTGCAATCTTAATTTAAAACAGCTGTCTTGACAACAGAGCCTTGGGCTGGTTCTGCATCTGGCGTGTCATGAGCGACGATGTCGGCGCTGAGTCCCCACCTGAGTTGGCATCGCAGCCAGAGGCGCCGGCATTGCCACAACCAGAAGCTGGCCCCTCTGACTCCTCACGAGTGGATAGCTTGCCGGCGCCTGAGCCTGTAAACCCCACACCGGGTCCTGCAGCAGCCGAGGAGGCACAGGTGCAATCGGGGACCCTGCCTGACTCACCTCCACGGGTGGTTCAGCTAAGGGAGCAGCTCCGCAGAGACTTAGCCACCCACCATCGAGATGCACGCTGGCAGGGAAAGCGAGTGCCGAGTCCTGAGTAGTAGCAGGAGCGCCGCCACCACCACAGGAAGCCCAGCCAAAGGGCTATATAACTCCCACTCAGGATTGGGCTCTCGTAGAAGCAACGAGTCGCCTCCGTGCGTGCCTCACATCCACCTTCGGCTCCTGTCCTCAGACCCCCACTGTGGCTCGCATTCCTGGCGTCCTAACCAATGTTCCCTCTAAGCTGTGGAGTCTTGTGAGCAAAAATTCTACTTTGTGAGCGATTGGCTAGCCACCCGCCATTGAGATGCATGCTGGCAGGGAATGCGAGCACCGGGTCCTGAGTAGTAGCAGGAGCGCTGCCACCACCACAGGAAGCCCGGCCAAAGGGCTATATAACTCCCACTCAGGATTGGGCTCTCGTAGAAGCAACGAGTCGCCTCGGTGCGTGCCTCACATCCACCTTCGGCTCCTGTCCTCGGACCCCCACTGTGGCTCGCATTCCTGGCGTCCTAACCAATGTTCCCTCTAAGCTGTGGAGTCTTGTGAGCAAAAATTCTACTTTGTGAGCGACTGGCATTAAAGTTGTGAGTGAGCAGTTGGGCTACTGCATAAATAGTTTGCTCTGGAGCCATCCTTCCCGAGCCAAGACAAAAATGTGTGAGCTGGAGGCCAAAAAACTGTGAGCTAGCTCACACTAACTCAGCCAAGAGGGAACACTGGTCCTGACCCCTGTTTTGGACGACCCCTCTTTCGGACTCATGGTTTGGCTCTCGCTCTGACTCTTCTGGCAACGACCTCGGACCGGACTTGATTTCTGCCTCTCAGCCCAAGCCCAGCCCGTGACATGGCATTCGCTCCACATTTTCTCAATTCTGAGGAAAAGGTGCAGCTCAAAACCACATTCAAATACACCGGGCCAGTGCCGTATTGATTGCAAAGTCACCCCTGAACAGCCATAAATCTATGCAGAAGGTACAATAAAACTCGATGATCAAAGAAAGTGAAAGCGGCATGCAATGCAGAGGGTACCATGAAATCCAATGATCAAAGAAGAGAAAGCAGCAGGCAATGCAGAGGGAAATTTCTGTTCCAACGTGGGTGGGCTAAAACAGAGGGAAAAGCCAATTTGGTGTAGTGGTCAGGAACCAGTAAGGTGCAGTGGTTAGGAGCACGGACTCTAATCTGGGAGAACCGGGTCTGATTCCCCACTCCTCCACATGCTGCTGCTGGTGTGACCTTGGGTCAGTCACAAGTTCTCTCAGGACTGTTCTCTCAAGGGCAGTTCTCGAGAGAGCTCTCTCAGCCCCACCTACCTCACAGGGTGTCTGTTGTGGGGAGGGGAAGGGAAAGGAGATTGTAAGCCGTACTGAGACTCCTTTGAGTAGTGAAGGGCTGGATATAAATCTAATCTGTTCTTTTTCAATGCAGAATCGCCTTTGGTCTGATATGCAGTCACATGTACACCCCAAGGAGCATATGGAAGAGCAAGAGAAATGGCTTCTCCGTTTGTTTTAATGAGGTGAGCTCTGCAAATGATCTCATTGAGTTACAGCAAGAAAGGTAGACTCTAAAGGACGTCAACAAATAAACAATGCAGAGGGAAATTTCTGTTCCAACGTGGGTGGGCTAAAACAGAGGGAAAAGCCAATTTGGTGTAGTGGTCAGGAACCAGTAAGGTGCAGTGGTTAGGAGCACGGAATCTAATCTGGGAGAACCGGGTCTGATTCCCCACTCCTCCACATGCTGCTGCTGGTGTGACTTTGGGTCAGTCACAAGTTCTCTCAGGACTGTTCTCTCAAGGGCAGTTCTCGAGAGAGCTCTCTCAGCCCCACCTACCTCACAGGGTGTCTGTTGTGGGGAGGGGAAGGGAAAGGAGATTGTAAGCCGTACTGAGACTCCTTTGAGTAGTGAAGGGCTGGATATAAATCTAATCTGTTCTTTTTCAATGCAGAATCGCCTTTGGTCTGATATGCAGTCACATGTACAACCCAAGGAGCATATGGAAGAGCAAGAGAAATGGCTTCTCCGTTTGTTTCAATGAGGTGAGCTCTGCAAATGATCTCATTGAGTTACAGCAAGAAAGGTAGACTCTAAAGGACGTCAACAAATAAATCTCTTGGTGACCCAGGCAAGCGGTGACTTGGAATCAAGAGAACTTTGAGCTTGCATCTCTCTTTCCAAAGCTAAAGGGGAGTTTCTCAAGCAATTCCAGATATGGCATGATAAGTTTGCTGTTCCAAGCAAAGCAGTCATCAGCCCAACTGAGCAAGTCCTTCAGCACCCTGACGCAGAGACTCAAGACACGCAGCATTTGAACTCTTGGATAAACCCAGATTTTTCTTACCATGTTAGATATCGTAATGACAGCATTGTGCCACGTCTCAGAGATCAGTTTCTCATCAAAATGAAAATTGAACAGGGCACTCTCTGAAGCCGGATAATCCTCCTTCACGCTCTTCGCTTGAAATGATTTGGTTTTTTGCTTGGTGAATACTATGTCTGGAGAAGGACACCTGCGAGTTAATAATGGGATTCTAAAAACAAAAAGACAAAAAACAGTCTTACATTTCTCACAAGGAGTTTGCATATTTATATTGCACCAAACATGTTTTCATACATTGCAAAGGTATCCTAAAGCAAACTAAGAGCCACTGAGGCCGGATGTACACACACACGTCAGAATACTGGAACAAGCTTTGTTACAATCCCTCTGTGTAGGACACTTTGAACACAATCCTACGCAGAGGTATAATTTTCTAAGTCGACTGAAGTCAATGGGCTTAGAAAGGTATAAGGACTGCACTGTGTCACCTGGACAAAGCAGGATACTCACAATCAAGTAGTTTGCCAGTTTCCCAAAAGGGGTGAAGGCAGGGGATTTCCTCACCTCTGCTTTCCTGCTGCTGCTATGAGTGGGAGAAACTTTATTTTTAAATAGCCATCTGGTCAGTGTTGTGACATCACTTTGGGGGAGGGAAACAGAAGGAATGCCAGGCCACTCAGGGAATGGCCGAATATTCTATGGTTTTACCATAGACTTTTTGGTGATTCCTAGGGAGGCGAGATGTCACTTCTGGGTTTTTCCAAGCATGCCATCCCTGCCCCCCTGGTCTCCCACTGGGCCAGGCAACTCTACAACCAAGGGTCAACCAAACTATCTATCCACCCTTCTGTTGTAGATTCAACCTCCGGTTTTGTAAACCCCATGACTTTAATACCTATTACAGCTGCTACTTTTATTTCTTCCAGGAGACGTCCTACACATGCAGCGACGTTTCCTGTCAATTCACCACATATACATGCATATTTAGTATTTATTGCAATTTTACAATTCTGACTGTACGTTTTAAGCTTGCCCTCTTCATCTCCTGGAATCAGGTCCATCAGGGCTATTCTGGTAAACTCTGTGTTGGTCTCCAGGGGGATTTTGCCTTCCATTCCTCTATAATAGTCATGCAACAGTCTCTTGGTATCTTGGAAACGGTCCACTTCATACTGCATACATACAAGGGGAGGTTAGTTATTATTTTTTTTAATCCGTTATTTTTTGATACCACTATTAAGATTGTACACAGAGCAACTCATAAAATGTCAAAATGCTGTACAGATGTTTTACACAGTCCAATTCATACAATGCTCCCAGGCCTTACATAATTTTAGGGTCCAATATGCACAAAGTAGATGTCGTGGAGATTGTGTGTTGCTGTTGCTGCTGAAAGCAGAAGGCATATTTTCCTCCCTGTTTCTAGCTTGTAATATTCAGTATTTTAGAAATGTGATGCGACACAATGATATCATCACACCAAACGTTTGTACTACTAGATGTTTTGAGGGAGACATAAGGCGGTTATATGGGACAAAACGCATAAACTTTGTAACATCTAGTTTGTGTCTACAGGACCCACTACCAGATCAACCAAAAACATTCCCTTAATAATAGACAAAATCCAAAAAACAAAAACCTTAAAGCAAATACATGGCTTTTGCTCTTAATTTTACCATCTGTGAGCAATGTCAGAGCAGCTAGGTTATACAGAACTGTGGTTGCCCCACAACTGTGGATGCTGCTGTTGCTGAAAGCAGAAGCCATGTTTTCATCCCTGTTTCTAGCTTGTAATATTCAGAATTTTAGAAATGTGATGCGACGCAATGACATCATCACACCAAAAGTTTGTACTACTAGATGTTTTGAGGGAGACATAAGGCGGTTACATGGGACAAAACGCATAAACTTTGTAACATCTAGTTTGTGTCTACAGGACCCACTACCAGATCAACCAAAAACATTCCCTTAATAATAGACAAAATCCAAAAAACAAAAAACTTAAAGCAAATACATGGCTTTTGCTCTTAATTTTACCATCTGTGAGCAATGTCAGAGCAGCTAGGTTATACAGAACTGTGGTTGCCCCACAACTGTGGCATGCCTCCCTCTAACCCATCATCTGGCTGTGTTTCAGAAACTTTTATTAAGGGATCAAACATAGGATTCCCACTTTCCCTTCCTCCCTGCTCTGTTGCAATTTGCCTTAAACACAGTTGGTTGTGCACCAACACCAACCATGGGTAATGGTAACCAGGGCTGGCAACTAAATTAACTTGTAACCAGCTTCAAACCTGGGTTAAGAACAAAGCTCAGTTAACCAAAGTGAACGTTATGAATAGCCATGATAGTTTATATTTGAGTTTGAAACATGGCTTGACTGTTTACCCTTTGTGTTTTGTGTATTTGTTACTTGGTTGTAGATTCTTGACTTGATAAGCCTGTAAGATTTGTCATGGAAGGTTGTTATTTTTTCTGTTCTAATCTTTGATTATTTTGTATTTTGATTGTTACTTAATATGTGTATGCGGAATTTTTTAAAAATATATATTAAAAAAATTAAAGTTGGTGAGGGGTGAAGAAGGAAGAAGTTATTGCAAGAGTCATGAGGGGGCTAAAGGGTAGCAGCGTCCCATGACCATGGTTCGCACTTAACCATGGTTAAGGGGCTAGCAGTAAGAGACATCTACAAAAGCCCTAAATGAAGGTCATCGTTCGAAGCGACCAAATTGTTTTACAAGCCTTTGTGTCACAGATATCAGGAAAACCCTTTAAATAGCTGTCCATAATACAGTTACAAAAGAACTATAAAAATTGTGCTGGTTCACAGCAAACTGAAGTAGATTTTGCTAAGATGAACCCCTTTAGAATGCAGCCAAGAAACATTATGCACCTGCCACACTTTGATTTATTATTAGAACAGAAGGCTCTGAATTTGTAACTGAAACACACACACACACACAAACCCCGGTGCTGTATATTCATGGGAAAATTCACAAAACCACAGTCACAAAAGGAAGAAAAACCAACACAGAGTAAGAATCCAGTTGTGCAGAATAACCACCAACCCAAAGGTCGATACCTGCCACTCTTCAGCTTAGCATCAGATCTGGCTCCTGGCAAGTCAGGAAGCCAGGGCCCAGAAGGAAGGTAAGCCTGGGGAAGATGAAACAAAGCCGGCGGTAATGCGGAGGTGAAGTAGACTGGGGTGTGTGTGTGTGTACAGAGACAGGGCTAAGCAAAGCAATAAGCCAAAAGAGGTCAGGTGTTAAGATCTCTAATGCAGATCAGTGGCACGGACTAGGAGCTGCCCACAGATTCCCAAACCAGAGAGCAAACCCGGCCCAGAGGCCTTTAAAGGGGTCCAAAGTCTTACCACGGGTGGCTTCCCTGCTTTGGCCAGGGCTTGAAAGTGATGTATAAGCTGAATCCCTGCCTAACATCTCTCCCAGGCTCCAAGACTCATTGCTGGTGTGTGTCAACATATAGGGTTGACATCCTCTGCATGGGGCCGGGGGTTCCCCTGCTTTCGGGGGGCCCAATCTGCCCCCGAAGAGCCCCATCACACCCAACATGCCCGGCGTGATGATGTCACCTGGAGGTGATGTCATTGTGGTACATGTGCTTTGTGCACGTGCCGGAAGACCCCAGGGAGCAGCCCGGAGCCCCCCGCTGGCAGCTGGTAAGCACCTGGCAATCCGCCCACATAGTTAGTTGCTGTGGCAGGTTGCCTGGGAATGAGGTAGGATACACCCCGGGGCCCAGCAGCAGACTCACTTGGGTGAGAGCAGGGGCAGGAGAATGCAGCCAGGGTAGCTTCAGGAACAGGGCAGCTTTGGCAGTCTGTCTTAGGGAAGTGAGGGAGCCCGGATGGGAGAACAAGGGCTCTCTGGGCCCAGGCCGGGCGTGGCTGTGCAGAGCAGGGGACAGAGAAGGGTGGAGCTTAGCGCAAGGGCCAGGTGTGCAGCTGGGGCTATAAAAAGAAAGGAAAAGGAAATGGGAGGAGGCTGGCTGGAGTAGGAAGGAAAACCAAGCAAGCTAGTGGGAGAAGGGGAAGAAGAGGAAGAGGAAGAAGAGGAAGAGGAAGAAGAAGAGGGAGAAGAATTGTCTCAGGGAGGTTCCCAAACAAAGAGACAGGTTGCAGTACTGTGTCTCTTCTCCTTTTTAATGTATTGTAACCCAGAGCTGGGTGAAAATAACCACACCTTCAGGTACCTGGAGCTGTTAACTGGAAATAAAAACCATCTATGCAAGGAAGCAGGGACCGGGTTGGTGCTTTCGAGACCCCATGGACCCCAGGTGTGATGTTCCCTTACCCCCAAAGGGCATCACAGTTGCACACAAAAGCACAGAGAAGTCCACAAGAGTCTGGAGGCAACCAAAGATTCCAGATGTGCATGAGATTTTCTGAAGAAATGGGAAGGCACAGGGGACTGCTGTGTCACTGTCAGGAATTTGTCCGTGGTTGTCCAGCCATTATGGACTGTGACTCACTGGTACAGGCACAACAGCAGCATAGCTGTCTCATATACGGACACCCAAAGCCTGAGAAATAAGCTAAGCAGGGCTATGGTGATAGGAATCGACAGCAACATCCTCTCTGGGTGCCATTACATGAACACGTCAGTCACTGAGATGTTACTTGCCTATGAACAAACTCGGATATCTGATGTACTGTAGTGAATCTTTCATAATGAGACTGTGTCTCTTCTCAGCTTTTTGAGCCACGCACATCTGGATGCACGTCTGGATTATGATGGTGTATGAGGCATCCAATATGCCAAATAGCATGATGTCTGGACTGTGGCCCAACCACTGAATGGACAGCAAGGGAGAAAAACTTTATCCACCGGCCAAACACATCCTGCCACAGCAGTGAAATTAGCTGAAGTTATTTTGCTCCATTGCCTCGTTGCTTAGAGCTTCAGGATCAGGGTGTCGCATAAAATCAAAGTTTCACAACATTTATCAGAGTGAAGATCAGCCCTATCGTTCTGGCTGATAATTTTTTTAAATTTTAAAAAAAAACCCATTATCAGACCTGCATAAGTGAAAGGATGTGATTAATCAGAAGCCCCATCCGATCCGGCAGCCAGCCGTCGTTCATGATATCGCTGCGCTCTTGCTCAGCTTCATCCCTTCTGTTTTCGCAAATATCCCACAGGCGATCTCTCAGGTCCTAAAAAAAACACATTGGAGCCGATACGTCAAAAGGGCCTCACCGCAAAACAAACTGAAGGATAGATGCCAATTAAACAGTGTTCTGGTTTTTAGGTCCAGTAGTTGAAGAAGCCTCGTCTGGAGCAGGTGCCGGTATTGGCAGCCGATTCTAGTTTGCAGGACTTGCAGAATCCCTTCCCAGCTCTGTGTGCTGGGCTCCTGGTTTACCTTCCCAATTCGTCCTGCCAGGAGAGTGAGTCAATACCAGCAGCTGCCTCTCCTGGAAGGAAGCGTGGCCGTGGGGACTCTCCAACAACAGCTGCCTGTATCAGCTGTTGGAAGCTGCAGTTGCTCAAGATGCTTGGAGTGTTTGGTCCAAGGCTCCTGTATGAAGGCTGCTGTATGAATTGGCATCTATAGGAACAATTTCGTCACTGTCTCCTATATGTAGGTGCCTTGCTTAATCAACAGGCATCCAACATGTAAGAGAAATGAGCCTACTTATTGGTTGTTAAGCCCTGACCTGGATAGCCCAGGCTATCCCCCTCTCAGAAGCTAAGCAGGGTCAGCCCTATGCAGTATTAGGATGGGAGATCTCCAAGGAATACCAGGGTCGTAACACAGAGGCATGCAATGGCAAACCACCTCTGAATGTCTCTTGCCTTGAAAACCCCACAGGGTTGCCATAGGTCACCTGCAACTTGATGGCGCTTTCCACCACATTGTTTTTTAACCAGTTATATAAAGCCTAGCATGTATTAGAGATGCTATCACTGTCCCCTGGACCATGTATAGCACAAGGAAGTCTAGACGACAGGGTTATCACTAGTGGAGAACAAGGGCATTGCACAAAGATGTCTGCAGAGCGAACAGCTCCAGAGGGGTCAGTTGAGCCAAACTGTAAGCTACAAGGAAACAGGGCAAGGCACAAATTGGCACATGGCTCACAACCACTTTCCCAAGAATTCCTTGGCTTTTGGCTGGTGCAGTCATCTTGCAAAAAGCCAACTTTGAAAACTATGTTTGGGGGTTCTGCCACTATTCTTGGGCCTCTCTGTTCAAGTGCAGCTGCCTCACTCTGAAGCCCATCTGCAAGTATGAATTCCATCGAGATCTCTAAGAAGGGGTGAGTGCAAAAAGTCACCGAGTGGAGAGAAAACGATAGAGACCCTCGTATACAGTGAAGACTCATTTTTGTCTGGTAGAAGAGGATATAAACAATGGGCTTAGTCCTTGCCATGTAGGGAGTTCAGAAAGCATAACTGAAGGGCGGCTATCTATTACATTGTGTGCTCTCCAGATTTCACTCAGGGGTTGGAAGCATATTTCTGATAGGTGATACGGGTTTATAACTAAGCTGGTGCAGGAGCAGGCTGAGGTACATTTCCGCCCCAATCACCCTCCTCCTGTTGCTGACCTAAAAGTAGCTGACCTAAAGTTGCTGACCTAAAAGTAGCAGCTCTCTTGCAAAGGAATTTCAAAGGGAGATTAGAGAGACTGCTGAATTGCAATTGACAATGAAGCTGAAAGCACAATGCACCCACCTGGACTGCATCAAGACCTAGGTTTCTTGTCTCATTACCAATGCTGATTTCTCCAGCCCTATTACCACTCTGCATATCTCACCTAAATCCAATCACGCCTGCTATTGTTATTCACCTGCTATTGTCATTTGGCGTCTGAAATCACTCTACTTTCCAATAAATAGGACAGATGGACTCCCATTCTAGCTGTATGTGAAGAAGCGAGCAGTGACTCACAAAGCTCGTACCCCACCACATATTTTGTTAGTCTTTAAGGTGCTACTGGGCTCTCGCTCTCTTCTACTGCTACAGACAGACTAACATGGCTGCCCATCTTGATCTGCCTCCTCCTGTGTTAGTCCTGTCGGGTCAAATGGGCTCCAGAGGTATCACCTTTGCAGCCCACCTTGGAGCCGGGCTGGGTGGCGGCGGTACAAGTATGGGAGATACATGCCATGCTCCCCTCCCCCACCAATTTGGTGCCCCAAGCAATTGCTTGGATCATTTGGGCAGTGAAGCAGCACCTGAGTTGGTGCTGTCTAGACATAAGGATGACACAATCATGGAGTACACTCAGGCTTATCTGGGGCACTCTGAAGTGACCTAAGAGGGACTTCTACCTCTTCGTGTGAGAACATCGCTTATTCGCCTCCTAATGCGTGAAAAGGCAGGTAAACTTCTTAACCACATCTTGATTAAAATCTGGTTGGGATACCAGTGACCAGATAACATGGCCCCATGGTCACATCTGGCCAATGGGCCACCAGTATCTCCTATAGCAATTGACTGGGGAGGGGTCATGATTTACTGGGAGGACCACCACTTTGCAAGCTGAAGGTCCCAGGTTCCACCCCCAGCATTTCCAGCTCAAAGGCTCAGGTTGTAGATGATATGAGAGACCGCTACCTGAGACCTTGGGGAGCCGCTGCAGGTCAAAGTGGTCAACTCAATCTCAGTAGTTTATGCTGAGAAACAATATTAGAAAAAACAGATATCTACCACCACGGCATGCAACAAAACTGAGCAACAAGTGTTTCTCACTAGGCCGCTGATGATCTGACTCATTCTGCTGCTAGAGAAGGAGGATATAATAAATTTCCCATCTCTAATGACTTGAGCAGGTGTTGTGGTCAGCAGCCGCATGAGCAGTGTGCTCCAGAGATAAGCTTTGTGTTTGCCACGCTGCAGGCAGGATTTTAAGTCTTTTCTCTCTCCTTGCTCGTTTTTGGCTTATGCTTATGTTGGATTCTTGCTCTAAGCAGTGAGTGTAAGTATACAGTGAGGGGGCCAAAGAGATAGTCCCCTGTTCTCCATGCACAGGGCTAGCCAACAACACAAACAAGTCCAGGCATCCTTGCAAGCATCTCTCCTTATATATAATTGAATAGTGGGTGCCAAAGTTCTAATTCTAAAATGCACTCCCTTAGTGTATGGCTGATGGCACTGCTCCTCAGCATATATCGCCACCAATCAGAAGGCAAAGTCCGGGTCCCGCCCACACCACAACTGCTGCGACAACCTGGTCTTTTGCATATGGAAGCTGATTGGACTTCACTCCATTCCACACCTCAAACTCCCCCTCCCCGCAAGGCAGTTGGAATGTCAGTTGCATCTGCTGTATTCTGGTGGTGTGCAGGTCCCAGATTCATGTTTTAAAAGCAGACTGACACTGTTTGCCCAAAGCCAGAGCACTCTCCCAGAGCCTCTTTCTAGATCTCGTTGTATTTATTTCCACAACGGGCCTTATTTCTAGTTCTACATACAACAGAACAGAGAATCCAGGAGGCACCCAACTGGAACAAAGCCAAATCTTGGGTCTGGGCAGGGGCAGATATTGTTGTTGCTGTTCAGTCACACAGTGAAGTCCGACTCTTTGCGACCCCATGGACCACATCACGCCAGACCCTCCTGTCTTCCGCCATCCTCCAGTATTTGCTTAATTGCACGTTCGTTGCATCGATAACACTGTCTAACCATCTCATCCTTTGCCGTCCTCTTCTTCTTTCCCAGCATGAGGGTCTTCTCCAGGGGCAGATCTACTATGAAACTAATGAAGCTTCAGCTTCAGGGCCTCTAATCCTGGAGGGGCCCCAAAGCAACTTTTTATAAAAAGGAATGAATTTTGCAACAAAATTGATGCCGTTTTTTTAAAGTGTTTGTTATTAAAACAAGGCTATTTTAGTGACAGAATCATAAGCCAGTGGGTTGAAGTACTTAATGTTGACCTTAGAATATGCTCTAATACCCATTCCATATGGCCTCAAAATGTTCCTGTAATTGGTCAAATTTCAAAAAATTTTCGGGGGCTTGCAGCACCCAAACCCCAGCTGTATGGGCTCATTGAACTCACCAGAATCTATTCATAGCCTACATTTTGACAGCTGGATCCTCAAATCCTTCACTGGTGCATGGCTTAATAGTTCTACAGCTCAGCCCTTAGCCAATCAGAACCATAAAAAGACATCTGAATTATCAATTCAGGCTGCACTAATCTCGCTTGTGCATTTTAACACCTAAAATTAGATTTTCACCTCTTTATCCCAATGAGCCCCGACCCCTCTGATGACCTTCTATCTATTGTTGCTGGTTGAAAAGGGGCCCCCATAACATTCAGAGAGAGAGAAGAAGAAGAGGAGATTGGATTTATACCCCACCCTTCACTACCTGAAGGAGTCTCAGAGTGGCTTACAATCTCCTTTCCCTTCCCCTCCCCATAACAGACACCCTGTGAGTTAGGTGGGGCTGAGAGAGCTCTTTTGAGAACTGTAGTTCTGGTCACGCTGGTGGACCTCTGGGTGACACCTAGGTATTGGCCACTGTGTGACACAGGGTGTTGGACTGGATGGGCCACTGGCCTGATCCAACATGGCTTCTCTTATGTTCTTAGTACTCGGGAAGGAGACCACCAAGGAAGTCCAGGGTTGCTGTGCATAGGCAGGCAGTGGAAAATCAACTCTTGTTTGTCTCTTGGCTATGACTTGACAGCACTTTCCACCACCAAAGCACCATGTGTATTTCCAGTGCTGCACAAATCAGTATCCATCATTATGAGGATATATGGGGACAATTATAATATATGGGGACAGTTATAATATATTGTAATTATATATATTCATCCTTCTGGAGCCAGAAAGCACTGAATAAATATTTGCTGTCCTACTGGGAATTGACCATGAATGGTACCATTCCCAAACACCATATCAGACAGATGTCGACAGATCAGTTACAGAATCACTGTCCTAATGACAGGGATGTAGGATTCTTATCTCACTATGGATGATAATTTCCTGCCCCTAAGCCATTCTCCCCTGTTCTAACCAAGCTGATTGTGTCTTGCATTGTACCTTTGTATTCTGACTCCCTGCTTTGCAACAACCCCTCCCACCTTCTTACTGGGCTATAAGGGCTCAGGGATCTCCATCCCTTTGTTGTTGTTGTTCAATCGCACAGTCGAGTCCAACTCTTCGCGACAGCATGGACCAGATCACGCCAGGCCTTCCTTTCTTCCACCGTCCTCTGAAGTTTGCTCAATTTCATGTTCGTTGCATCTATGACACTGTCTAACCTTCTCATCCTTTGCCGTCCCCGTCTTCTTTGACGTTCAATCTTTCCCAGCATCAGGGTCTTCTCTAGTGAGTGCTCCCTTCTCATTTGGTGGCCAAAGTATTTGAGCTTCAGTTTCATTATCTGGCCTTCCAGGGAACAGTCAGGGTTGATTTCTTTGAGGATTGACTGATTTGTTCTTCTTGCAGTCCAAGGGACTCTCAAGAGTCTCCTCCAGCACCATAGTTCAAAAGAATCTATTCTTCGGCGCTCGGCCTTCCTTATAGTCCAACTCTCACAGCCATACATGACTACTGGGAATACCATTGCTTTGACCATGCGGACTTTTGTTGGCAGGGTGATGTCTCTACTTTTTATCATGCTGTTTAGGTTCGCCATCACTTTCCTCCCAAGGAAATCTTTTAATTTCATGGCTGCTGTCACAGTCTATGGTGATCTGGGATCCCAGGAATGTGAAGTCTGTCACTACTTCCACGACTTCCCCTTCTATTTGCCAAGGAGTGATGGGGCCGGATGCCATGATCTTAGTTTTTTTGATGTTGAGCTTCAAGCCCACTTTTGCGCTCTCCTCTTTTACCCTGAGCAAGAGGCTCTTTAGGTCCTCTTCACTTTCTGCCATTAGAGTGGTATCGTCTGCATATCTGAGGTTGTTGATCTTTTCCCCAGCAATCTTAATTCCCGCTTGTGATTCATCCAGGCCAGCATTTCGCATGATGTACTCTGCATATATATTAAATAAGCAAGGTGACAATATACATCCTTGTCGTACTCCTTTTCCTATGCTAAACCAATCAGTTGTTCCATATCCGGTTCTAACTGTCGCTTCTTGGCCCTTATACAGGTTTCTCAAGAGACATGTGAGGTGGTCTGGTACTCCCATCTCTTTAAGGACCTGCCATAGTTTGTTGTGATCCACACAGTCAAAGGCTTTAGCATAGTCAATGAAGCAGAAGTAGATATTTTTCTGGTACTCTCTTGCTTTCTCCATAATCCAGCGAATGTTGGCAATTTGATCTCTAGTTCCTCTACCTCTTCGAAACCCAGCTTGTACTTCTGGTAGTTCTCTATCCACGTACTGTTGAAGCCTAGCTTGTAGGATCTTGAGCATGACCTTGCTAGCGTGTGATATGAGTGCAATTGTGCGATAGTTTGAACATTCCTTGGCGTTGCCCTTCTTTGGGATTGGAATGTATACTGATCTTTTCCAATCCTGTGGCCACTGTTGCGTTTTCCAAATTTGCTGGCAAATGGAGTGCAGCACTTTAACAGCATCATCTTCTAAGACTTTGAATAGCTCAGCTGGAATACCATCACCTCCACTAGCTTTGTTGTTAGCAATGCTTTCTAAGGCCCATTTAACTTCACATTCCAGGATGTCTGGCTCGAGGTCAGTGATTATACCGTCGTGGTTGTCAAGGACATCGAGGTCTTTCTTGTATAGTTCTTCTGTGTATTCTTGCCATCTTTTCCTAATCTCTTCTGCTTCTGTTAGGTCCCTACCGTTTTTGTCCTTTATCATGGCCAGCTTTGCATGGAACGCTCCCTTGATTTCTCCAATTTTCTTGAAGAGATCTCTAGTCCTTCCCATTCTATTGTTTTCTTCTATTACTTTGCACTGTTCATTCAGGAAGGCCTCCTTATCTCTCCTTGCTGTTCTCTGGAAATCTGCGTTCAGTTGGGTAAATCTTTCCTTTTCGCCTTTGCCTTTCGCTTTCCTTCTTTCCTCTGCTATTTGTAAAGCCTCATCAGACAGCCACTTTGCTTTCTTGCATTTCTTTTTCTTTGGGATGGTGGTGATTGCTGCCTCCTGTACAATGTCACGAACCTCCGTCCATAGTTCTTCAGGCACTCTATCTATCAAATCCAGACCCTTGAATCTATTCTTCACCTCTACTGTATATTCATCAGGGATGTGATCTAGGTCAAACCTGAATGGCCTCATGGTTTTCCCGATTTTCTTCAGTTTAAGTCTGAATTTTGCAATGAGTAGCTCATGATCTGAACCACAGTCAGCTCCAGGTCTTGTTTTTACTGACTGGATAGAGCTTCTCCATCTTTGACTGCAAATTATATAGTCAATCTGATTTCGGTGTTGCCCATCTGGTGATGTCCATGTGTAGAGTCGCCTCTTAGGTTGTTGGAAAAGGGTATATTGGACACCTTCTGGCCTGAGGGGCTCATCTTCCAGCGTCATATCTTTTAGCCTTTTGATACTGTCCATGGGGTTTTCTTGGCAAAAATACTGGAGTGGGTTGCCATTTCCTTCTCCAGTGGATCACACTTGGTCTGAGTTCTCTGCTGTGGCCTGTCCATCTTGGGTGGCCCTCCACGGCATAGCCCACAGCCTCATCGAACCACGCAAGCCCCCTTGCCACGCCAAGGCAGTGATCCATGAGGGATCCCTACTTGTATGTGAAGTGACTCTCGAAAGCTTATACCCTGGAAACCTAGTTGGTCTGTAAAGTGCTACTGGACTTGGACAGGAGCACTTAAAGTAGCAGGTAGCGCTTAAAGTGCTACTGGACTCTTCGACTGCAGATCAACAGTGCTACCCACCTGACACTGTCCTATAAGAATGCTATAAGGACGTCCTATAAGGAACTGTCCTATAAGGATGCTATTCCCTCCTCTTCCCTCAATCTCATTCATTTTACAACAGGCCAGTAGCCAAAGTAACTCATCGGCTGTCTTTTGAGTTTCTACTTACAGTAACCCTTTGGTGCAGCTCTTGTTTGGTTTCATCATCATCCCACAAGTCATCAGCAATCGAGTTATAATCGGCTTGCCACTGAGTCACGAACTCCTGTTTGTGGTCCGGACGTTTCAGATAGTCTTTGAAATGATTTCTGGCAAAGAAATGAAATCAAAAGAAGCCCAGTGTTGTTGATCTGTCTTTAACTTAAGAATCAAGAGGGCAGGGCCAATGACAGTCTTTATTTATAAAGCTCGTCAAAACTCACCTGATATCCGACAGGTAATGAATGACAACGTGCTGCTCAGCCCGGATTTGCCGAAGAGTGGCTTTGATGTTACTCACATAGGATGCCTCGACGATTTCCCAGTAAGGGACTAAGAATTCAGGCACTTCCTGTTAAGTTTGAAGAGACACGGAAATTGTGCATCTGCCAACCAATCAGAAGGCTGGAGAAAAGGGACTGACAAAGGGGACCAATTAAGTTATTGCCCTATATTCCACTCCTCTCCATTCACTTCTCTCACTTCTATCTCTTTCCTTTATGTATAGAAAATCATAGAATCACAGAATTGGAAGGGACCCTACAGGCCATGTAGTCCAACCCCCAGCTCAGTGCAGGATCAGACTAAACCACCCCTGACAAGTGTTTCTCCGGCTGCCCTTAGACCTAGGCTGTTTTCATGGACTCACAGAATCACAGAGCTGGAAGGGGCCATACAGGCTATCTAGTCCAGCTCCCTGCTTGATGCAGGATCAGCCTAGAGCATCCCTGACAAGTGTTTGTCCGGCCGCTGCTTAAAGATTGCCAGTGAGGGGGAGCTCACCACCTCCCTAGGCAGCCGATTCCACTGTTGCACAACTCTGACTGTCAAAAAAGATTTTCCTAATATCCAGCCGATACCTTCCCGCCCTTCATTTAAACCCATTATTGCGAGTCCTCTCCTCTGCTGCCAGCAGGAACAGCTCCCTGCCCTCCTCTAAGGGACAGCCCTTCAAATACTTAAAGAGAGCAATCATGTCCCCCCCTCAACCTCCTCTTCTCCAGGCTCAACATTCCCAAGACTCTGACCTTATTATGCTCAAAACAGCTTCCCTTTTGGCAAGAGTCTCGGCATTGTAAAGGATGGAGTGCTGGGCCTTAACCAGGAAGACCTGAATGAAACCCACTATCTGTTCCGAAGTTCAGCCTTTCATATCACCTATTTAGCATCACGATGGGACAGGCCATCTATCCATCCATTATGGGATGCTCTCTGTTCATGTGCTCCCTTCCCTCCTTCTCCTTCCACCCCTTGGGCTCCTGATTTGGCCACAAACCAAGGATCCCCAACATGGTGCCTGTGGAAACCGTAGCGGGTGGGGGCAGGAGGTTGGTCTTTTGCCCAGCAAGGCTTCTGATTGGCCACTGGAGATTTGACTGGCTATGTGTATTCTTTTTTAATGTTGCCCCGGCAGCAACTGCCACTGCTGCACAGAGATCTTCATTGCATGATGGAAGATAAGCTGCGTAAGCTGCAGTGCCCATTGTATGGCTGGCTCCGCCTCCTGCAGCAGCCATTTTGTGACTGTGCCCACCACACTGTGCCAGAATTCCAAAGAGGCCCAAAGACTCAAAAAGGTAGGGGATCCCTGCCACAAACTACAGGTTGCTGTTACACCCAAACGTATGCTCTGTGCTTGCTTTCCCTTCCCAGATTGCAAAACATTATCAAACTGTGGTTTGCAGTCCTGGTTTGGAGGGCCTATATCCAAACCACAGTTTGTTTGGTCTGGATGTAACGGCAGAGTCATCAATCGATTCCTAGTGTGAAAGGGGAGGAGGAAAGGAATGTGCTGGCACAGGGATCGTTCCCGTGGTGCCAAACAACGGTTTGGAGTTAAGATCGAACTATGCCCATCTTTCAGCCTAACCCACTTCTCAGGATTATCGTAAGGACACGCGTACACGTTCTTGAACTCCTTGGAGGAAGGGTGTGATATAAACGTGATATGCATTTTTAAAAAAACCAAGATCTTCCCCAAATTGCACATGCATGTAGTCAAGAAAATACTAGAACTGGTATTCCCATTAGGGCATTTTCTCACATAGTACCCCCAGTCAGCCATTACAGTTTTGGTGCTGCCCTCACATAATGGGAGGACACATTACCCACAATCCTTTTGATACGCGCTATCATCATTTTGTGCTCGCAGGACAACACCCCCACACAGCCCTTCTCCAGGCATACACACCTGCTACCAAATCCACTTTACTTCCACACATCATGTATATCATACAGTGGGTGCACACACAGAATCCCATGTGTGTGCCTATTGACCTGTCATTTATCTATTACATTTACTGATTTCCTCCAAGGAGCACAGTGTGCTGTACATAGGGGTTTCAGTCCACAAGGTACAAACCAGCCCAGTCTGAAGGACTGGATGGCCAAGTTTGCAAAACTCTCACCAATTTTACTTGGTGTGTTCATAATAGCCTTGGTAAAGGGAGCATGACAGAAAGTTCCGGGTGAAAATAAGAGCAAGGAAAAAAATAACAGGATTAGATGCCAGTTGTTCAGGAAGAATGTGGGGTTATAAACAGGGCTTTTTTGGTAGAAAAAACCCAGCAGGAACTCATTAGCATAATAGGCCACACCCCTGACCGCACAGCTCATTCGCATATTAGGCCACACCCCCATGTTACCAGAAGTGTGGTCATCCAACTACACCCACCTTTTGCTTCTTATTCTCTTTACCTTGTTTGTTGTCAAAACCCAGGGCTTTTTTTTTTTAACAGGAACTCCTTTGCATGTTCGGCCACACCCCCTAATTGTAGCCAATCCTAATGAGTTTCTGCTGTTGGGTGTGGCCTGTTATGTTAATGAGTTCCTGCTGGGCGTGGCCAACTTGGGAGCCAGCCGGAACTCCGTTCCTGTGCGTTCCTGCCCAAAAATAGCCCTGGTTATAAATTAGGGGAAGGGTTGTGGCTCAATGGGACAGCATCCGCTTGGCATGCAGAAGGTCCCAGATCCAATCCCCAGCATCTCCAGAGAAAAGGGTCGGGTAGCAGGTGATGCGAAAGACCTCGATCTGTGACCCGCCTCGATCTGTGCTGGTCAGAGCAGCCAATACTGACCTTGGTGGACCAATGATCTGATTCAGTGTAAAGCGGCCTTATACATTCAGGTGCCCAGATATTTAAAATAAATAAATTTGAAACCGCCATACAGGGGGAAGTGGATCATCGACATAAACCCATTCAGGTGACCCTGGTTTAATTGGAGGAGGTTCTACAGGAGCAGGAGATGGTAATTCTTCCGGTGGTGGTGGGGCAGCTTTCCCTGGTGATTTTCCTCGTGGAGTACCTTAAAGAGGAATGGATGATTAATACACATCTTCTAGGAATACATGAATAAATTGTAAGTCACAAAAACCTGGCTATTTTCTTGGGACACCCTTCATGGATGGGGTAGCAGCTATATGGTATATGTCACATTCATTTGCAGAATGGAAAGTAGGCAATTTCTAGAGGTACTGTAAGCAGATACATACTACACACACACAGCATCACAGAATCAGCTTCCCAACATATAACCCAGCTAAGCTAGAATGCTTGAATATACTTGCTGAAATATGCTGCTTTGAGGAACAAGTAGAGTGACACCCTTCTCAGTCCACGGCGGTCAGTGCATAAGTTTGCTTTGGTGGAAAGTACTGTCAAGTCACAGCCAGCTTCTAGCGACCCCGTAGGGTTTTCAAGGCAAGGGATGACCAAAGGTGGTTTGCCATTGCCTGCCTCTGCGCAGTGACCCTGGGCTTCCTTGGTGGCCTCCCATCCAAGTAATAACCAGGGTCAACCCTTCGTTGCTTCTGAGATCCGACAAGATCCGGCTAGCCTGGGACATCAAGATCAGGGCAAGTTCTGTTTAGGACTGCGTTACTGGTTTCTATTTATATTCCCTTGAATTGGCGCCATTTTATTTTTCTGCTTTTAACAGTTGGCTGTATCAGGTTTGTCTGTCCCATGGACCCATGGCTTACAGCATTTACATTCAGGTGGGCAGCCGTGTTAGTCTGAAGCAACAGAACAAAGTCTGAGTCTAATGGCACCTTGGAGACCAACAAAGTCTAATTCTGAGTATAAGCTTCTGTGGGCATGCGCACTTCTTCAAATACATTGAAACAGACTTCCTCAAACCTTGCTTTGCATGCACATGAAAGCGCCTACCCAGAATTAAACTTTGTTGGTCTCCAAGGTGCCAGTGGATGGCCATCTCAAAGCCCACCCAGCTCCTATGGGCTACAGAGATCTTCTGCCAGCCCACTGGAACCAGGTCGGTACAAGTGGGAGGAAACCACATGTTCCATTTGAACTTAAACTGCTGTCAACCAGAGAAGATTAGAAGAACCACTTGTTGAATCTCACCACACAAAAGTTTTTAAAATTGTTCACAAGTAAGTTGTACAATCTCTGTATTTAGCCATTCTTCTGTTTCCTCCATTGCCTCTGTATCCATTTCTAATGCCCTTTCCATTTCTTTGCTTTACATTTGCATATTTTTAACTCCTGTTTCTCTTCCTGGCCGCTCTTCAAATATTGGGAAGCATTCAAAGGGAGTCTCCTAATCAAAGTCGTCAGAAAAAAAACAGAACTTGAACTCGTACTCACTTCGTATTCCTTGTTTGCTTTGCTGTATGTTACATTTTGTTTTGTTTCGATAGTTTCTAAAATGGGCGGTCGCGTCTTAGCAAAACATGGCGGCCATGTTTGCACCATTCCCTGCTCCTGCTTTGAGACACTCTCGGTTGTCTACCGCTTGCTGCCACTCGCGGGGCGACCAGTCAAGTCTCATGCTGCCAGTCCTCTCTCCAGGAGGTCTGGTGAAGCCCAACAAAGGTCACAAGGACCCGCAGAGCCTCGGGGGGGGGGCAAGGAAGGTCGGGGCTGATCGGGAGCGTCCTGAACAAGCACCCGTGGAGTCACGCTGCTGCCCGGAAGTCTCGGATCTCTCTATCTTTGAAGCTGTCTTATATTGAATCAGACCGTCAGTCCATCAAGGTCCACATTGTCTACTCAGACTGGCAGCGGCTCTCCAGGGTCTCAGGCAGAGGTCTCTCGCACCACCTCCTGCCTGGTACTTTTAACGGGAGATGCCGGGGATTGAACTCTGGACCTTCTGCTTGCCAAGCAGAGGCTCTTCCACTGAGCCACACCCCTTTCCAATATGAACACATGAAGCTGCCTTATACTGACTCAGACCCTTGGTCCATCAAGGTCGGTACTGTCTACTCAGACTGGCAGCAGCTCTCCAGGATCTTGGACAAAAAAGGGTGAATTACATTACCTCCTACCTGGTTCTTTTTTAGCTGGAGATGCTGGGGATTGAACCTTGGACCTTCTGCATGCAAAGCAGAGGCTCTTCCAGTAAGCCACCGCCCTTCCCCTTTCTCCTTGCCAACTCTGCCCTGCTCTTCCATCCAGCCACCAAGATTCCTCAATAACGTCTCACACCTCCACCTGTTTCTCTTGCCTGCTGTATCCTTCTAAAACAGTTCAGAATTGTGTGGCTTGCTTGTCCTCCCTCCCCCTTGTGCACAATGCCATTTTGATGCTAAAGAACCACAATGTTGGTTCTGCTGGATCTGGGCTGCAAACAATGCACAAAGGGGTGCTGGAATCTATTGGGTCAGCTCATGGACAGGATGGAATCATTCAACTTGCACCTTCTTGGCAAAGAGTTTATGTAAGCCAGTTCTTGGGGCATTTCTCACACCATGGCCTTTGAGTCTTGCAAACATGAGTAATATGAGAAAGAAAGCAGCAGAGTCCAGTGTCTGAATCACTTATTTGAATTCAGCCCACACTAGCCATCCTTTATGGCCTGCCAGATACTTGACACCCATCCTCATTCAGCAGCTCCAGAAAAAGAGACAAGGGTCCTTTCCGCACTTGGATGCCAGAGTTCAACTCACGACACAGTACCTTGCATTTATCCCTGGTTATAACAGCATCCGTTTATCCCAGGACAAGTGTGGGGCGAAGCCGGGGTGACCTCAGTGTAATGTGGAAACAAAGAATACCCCTAGATAATTACAGGGGTGAACTCGAGTGTAGTGTAGAATGTAAAAATACCCCGAGATAATTACAGGGGTGAACTCAAGTGTAGTGTAGAATGTAAAAATACCCCGAGATAATTACAGGGGTGATCTTGAATGTAGTGTAGAATGTAAAAATACCCCGAGATAATTACAGGGGTGAACTCGAGTGTAGTGTAGAATGTGAAAGTACCCTGAGATAATTACAGGGCTGAACTCATGTGTAGTGTAGAATGTAAGTTCGGGAACAGGGTTGAACCAGGGTTTAAGGTCTAGCGCGGAAAGGACCCACAACGGGAGTGATGGAGGGTAAAGAGAACCGTGGTGGACTGCCATATATAGTCCGGGCGAAGTTGCCAACACTGGCTTGGAAAATTCCTGGATATCTGGGGGCAGAGTCCACCCTCCAAAGCAGCCATTTCCTCCAGGGGAAATGGCCTGTAGTCTGGAGATAAGTTGTAATTCCAGGGGAATTCCATACCCCATAAACAGATGCGATATCACAGTATACAATATACAGAAAGCAAGCAAGCACTGTAAAAATAACGCAGACCACAAGTGCTCATAAAAGTCATGCAAAAAGAGTATATTTATATGACAAGAATAACAGAGGACCACGTGTATCAGTAAAACCAAATTACATTGTATAATGTACAGGTCCATGAATAGTGCAAGTCCATAAATGGTACACAGACAAGGACGAAGACTCTGTATTGTGATCTTCGTTTCGATAGCTCTTCTTCAAGAAGTTCACACTACTTCATAAAGTACTCATAATGTACAGAAGACTTTAAAATGGTGTATGTAGGAGGAAAAATCCTTAGCACAGCACTCACAGTGCATAAAAGCCTTCAGACCAGTATTACAGGACTATTGGAGAGTTTGTTCTATTGTTGATCGGGTGCCCGGCTTTGAATGATTATAATAGGATTGAGTTTTTTCCTGTAATCGAAATGAAGATCACAATCTGGAGTCTTCGTCCTTGTTTTTTTGCCTTCAAAACCATAGAGTTGGCTCAAAAACCAGAGCGTCACCTCAACATCCGTGACCCAATGATGTCACTTCCAGGTTTGGGGGTGGGGCTTTCCCCACCAGCCAGCTGGCCGGCAGCAGATTGGAGCCCCCAAAAGCAGGGGAACCTCCGCTGGGAACTGGGAGCTGGCAACCCTAGTAAAGACTGCCTGGGGCCCAGGGTTACCACCTCTAGGTTGGGTGTGGAGTTCTCCTGGAACTGCAGCTGATCTCTGGACTACAGAGGTCCACTCTGCTGGAGAAAATGGAATTTCCAGAGGGTGATGAGCAATGTTCCCTCTAAGCTGAGTTAGTGTGAGCTAGCTCACAGTTTTTTAGACTCCGGCTCACACCTTTTTGTCTTAGCTCAGGAAGGATGGCTCCAGAGCAAACTTAATTTATGCAGCAGCCAAATCGCTCACTCACAACTTTAATGCCAGCAGGTCACAAAGTAGAATTTTTGCTCACAAGACTCCACGGCTTAGAGGGAGCATTGGTGATGAGCTCCCTTCTCTCTCTAAACTCTGCTGTCCCCCAAGCACTGCCTCCAAATCTCCAGGAAATTCCCAAGGCAGAGTTGGCAAGTCTGCATTGGGCCTCACTTGTGAAATAGCTGCCCCCCCGTTTTTCAATGGAACCATTTTCTTCCATGTCGAATGAAAACATGCCACTGTTGCTTTTTAAAAGAGAAGCGTGAAGATGAAAGTGAAAGCTACAATCTTTTGTGGCTATGAACAAAATTAGCATTACAAAAAAAAAAAAATGAAATGGCACTTCACCTGGTTTGCTTCTTGCCTCTTTGCTGCATCGTCTTTCTTTTTCTTTTTGTCTTTACGAGGGGGCGATGGCGGAGGAGATTCTGCTGTGGATACAAGACATTTCAGCACGGACACCTTCAAGAGGAGACTGGATAAACATACGGAGCAGAGGTCCATCTGTGGCTATTACCCGCCACGTACAGATGGAATACTACGTCGGGGCAGTGATGCTCTGCATTCGTGGTGCTTCAGGGGCAACGGTGGGAGGGGGGACTCTGGAGTTCTGAACCCACTGGTGGACCTCCCGATGGCACCTGGATTTTGGCCACTGTGTGACACAGGGCAATTCTGCATCTGGCACTTGCTCCACATTTTCTCAACACTGAGGAAAAGGTGCAGCTCAAAACCACATTCAAATAACGCTGTACTGACTGTAAAGTCACCCCTGAATGGCCATAAATCTATGCAGAAGGTACCATAAAACCCGATGGAGTACTTCCTCTTTCTGTGTTATACCTCTGAGGATGCCAGTCACAGCTGCTGGCGAAATGTCAGGTCCTACAATGCCAAGACCACGGACATACAGCCCGGAAAATCTACAACAACGAATGAACCCCAGCCGTGAAAGCCTTCGACAACATATGCATTAACAATGTGGCACATGAAAGGACTTGAGCTGTCATGGCATATCACTCACAGGCAATTTACACTATATTTATACTTTACCAACCTTTAGGCTCTACTTTGGGCTCTACTTTGGGCTCTACAGGTTCTGGTTCCGGGAGTTCAGCAGATGAAACAGCTTCCAGTTCCTCAAATTTCCCCCCTATTACTGACAGCACTTCTTCATGGGAGACAAAGGAAGCAATCTCTTGTTCTCTTTTCTCCGCTTCTTTCCTTTCCTGTTCTTTTCCTTCATCACAAAATCCACAGCAAAACACAGATTAATTGACAGAAGTGTGTGTGTGTGTGTGTGTATCTTTGACCAAGCAAGCTTTAAAAAGAACTACACACAATGGGTTGGATCTGAAAGACTTCACACTAATTTGTGGTCCTATAGCAGAGCTTTCCCGCCTTCTCTTTCATGTTTCCCACACTTCTGGTCATGGAGGGGTCTGTCCTGACCAGCTGCAATTGTTATCACCTTTAAATTGTGGGTCACACACTTACAGAGACTTATATAAGGGGAAGTGGGGTATGTGAAATCCTGTTGCTTCTGAGTTAGCATTTTGGATTAGGGTCTGTCATTGCTCAAATGGCATTTCCTGACCAGCTGCAATTGTTATCACCTTTAAATTGTGGGTCACCCACTTACAGAGACTTATATTGATTCAAAGCCCTGGGAATGGAATGTGGTGAATTATTTTCTGGGTGACTGATGTGGAGATTTGTCTAAAACAAAGGGCCTGAAACAGGCCAGGTCTCCTTACTGTTGTTCCAGCAATACACAGAGACAGACACATGGATTTCATGAGATATTAGGTTCCATTTTAAACCCAAACTTTCTATATTTCTAAAATTTCTTTCCACAATCCCCCATTTTTGGGTTTAAAGGGAACCCAAACACAATTTTCTACAGGAAGCTTTCAGGCCCATCCGTCTTTTTTTTGTTGTTGTGGCGATATAGCTGATGTGGAGGTAGAGACTATTTTGATTCCAGAAGAAAACACAGAAGGAATACATTTAGCTGCACAGGAAATAGCAAGAAAACACACCAAGATTACAAAACCACCTAACACCAAAAAGTGTACCAAGGTTTTCACCCAACTACTTAGGTTTGGAAGCCAGTCCCATAAGTCCAGGGTGACTTCCTTGGCTACCTGATGAAATACTTGTACTGCATTCTTTAAATCTTGTAAATGTGAAGCTATATATCCAGATTGGTTTACATAGAAGCAACATTCTTCTTTAATAAGGGCACAGACTCCTCCTTGTTGTGCAGCAAGGATGTCTAGTGTATAACCATTTGAGCTACAGAATCAATTTCTGTTTGCATGTGTGAAAAAGAAGCTATTGTATCATTAAAAGAACGTTCAATTTCAGAACTTATGTTTACAAGGGCTTTCTCCAGCTCCCAGACTCCTATTCCTGGAACAATGGCTCGCATAATGGGGGATTGTGGAAAGAAATTTTAGAAATATAGAAAGTTTGGGTTTAAGATGGAACCTAATATCTCATGAAATCCATGTGTCTGTCTCTGTGTATTGCTGGAACAACAGTAAGGAGACAACAGGATTTCACATACCCCACTTCCCCTTAGAAGATAACTTTGAAGTGAGCCCTCTGATAGCTTCAAAGGACAGTGTAACCCCAAATGGTGGGAACACCAGGAAAACAATAGCACCTTCCAGTAAATAAGAATTGTGTGAACTTTTGTTGTAAGGAAGCAAATTTACAATTTCAACTTCTAGGAAACAATTTACAGTTAAGCAATTTCCACTTCCAAACGTTAATTTACAACTGTGATATGATTATCAAAAGAACTCCTTTGATCATTTGGTATAAATACTGGTGAAATCCTACAGAATTTCGTTGGCTTCTGAAGGATCAGGAGGGGTTTAGTCTCCTGAGAATTGGAAGTCAACCCGAAAGGGCCCTTTCGCTTCTTGCATGCTTTGGGGTGGGATACTTTGTTTGCATGTTCATTTTTCTGTATGTGTTTACAATTTATATTTCTTGAAATAGAAGTGTACTGTGTGGGCAAGCTGACACAGCGTCTTGCTGTTCACCTTGTCAGGTAAACTTTGAATACTGAGCCTTTTAAATAAAAAAAGATATATAAGAAGAGATACCTTTGCTTGAAGTGTCTCTGGCCAGTGCTCAGCGTTTCCAAACTTGCACCTTCCGCCTTTGGTAAGGAGGCAACACTCAGGGGAACACGAACTAGAGGGGGTGTGTTGGGAGACATTTTTCTCACAACAGACAGCAGTGGCACTTTTGATGGGAGTAGCAGCAGCAGCACTCCCAGCTGTATAGATTGGCCACTGCTGTCAGGGCAAGGGTGTGCAGGTGGTGCAGGCATCCGAGCATAGAAGGTGGCAGAACTTGGAACTGGGAGCAGGATGCATGGATATGGGGGGGGCATACAGGGCTGGGGGTGGAAAAGAGTATGGGGGGTCCTGGTAGTGGGCAGATGGGGGCCCCAGGGCAATGTGTGCCCAGGAACCTGCAACCAGCTCTTGGTATAAACTTTCAAGAATCAAAGCCCCCTTCCTCAGATACCCGACGAATGGAGGGAGAAGTGGTATCAGGTATCTGACGCAGGGAGCTTTTTCTCGAAAGTTCATACCCTGAAATTTTTGTTGATCTCTAAGGAGCTACTAGACTTGAACCAGACAATTATGACTGCTGCTGATGATGATGATGACAAGAATGATGTGTGGAGGTTCCTGGGTGGGAGAAGTTATCTGTTGGCCTTGCTCTTGCCTAGAACTTCTGTGGGGAAAGGAGGGGGCAATTTTTTCAGACCCCCCCTCCTGCAGTCGCCCCAAATGCCTCCCCAAATGCTGCTCCTGTGGGCCAGGGAACCCTCAGGAATAACCTGGGGCGGGAATCATCGGTCTGCTGTGTGTGTGTGGGGGGGGAGAATTGGTGGAAATTTTCCCACCTGGTGCCTTCAAAAGTTTCAGGCAGGATTTCAGCCAGCATGGGGTCAAGGAGTGAGCCGGCCTGGAGGCCACATAGTCTGCACTTTGCACCAGCTCAGCGATGCTCTCAGTAAGGACGTACTTGGAACTGATGCACGGAAGTCAGATACAGGAGCCTTTTATCTCATTCTGGCTATAACAACGTCCCAGGTTACAAAACAGCATTTTAAACATTATCATTAGGGACTTCTGCAGGTGCCCCCTTGGCAAATGGGCAAAATCAACAACTGCTCATATATGTGGCCTTCTCTGTTGGGGCCCCCACCTTGTGAAATGGCCTGCCTGACGGGGTCGGGAAGCCCCCCCCGGCTTTCCACCAGCTCTGCAAAGCGGGATTATTCCAGGGGGCTTACCTACGCAGGCAATAGTTACAAAGTTACTTGGATACATTACTGGGGACTGTGCTCTGTACTGCTTTGTATGGTTTGCTGAGGATTGGCTCCCATTGTGTAATTTTGCATCATTTAATGTGCCATATTAACACCTATGCTTTGCTTCAAGTTCTGTTCCTTAGATTTCTGGTTGGGCTGACGACCCAAATCCTATTTCACTGTTTACTGAATGTCCCATCTTGTCGATTGACTCACTCTGCATAATACGCCTTGAGCCCCCTGGGAGAAAGGAGGGCTACAAATAATGTAAATAAACAACTGAAACCAGTGAGACAGCATGACTCACTCTTCTTTTCGACCTCCTCCATCAAAATTCCTTTTACTCTTTGACACAAAAGATTCTCCTCTATCTCTGCATGGACTCTTATTAGTATGTTCTGCTGCTCAGCTAGCCAGGTCTCGAGTGCAGGCCAAGCGTCCAGGAAACCAATGATTCTGTGAAACCGAAACCACGCAAAACTGAAAGTCAGATATGAGAACGGCATTCGGATCCTAAATGAGTCAGGCTGATAGAAACAAATTACTGACACCTCAAGGTGCCTGTCTGCAAAGTCGTCATATAGTGTGACATTCCTGATTCCCGTTTCTCTCTTACTCCAACGGGGATCTACGTTCAGTCTTATAACTCCACGTTAATGCTAGTGAGTCCAATGCTCCCTCTAAGCTGTGGAGTCTTGTGAGCAAAAATCCTACTTTGTGAGCTCCCGGCGTTAAAGTTGTGAGCGAGCGATTTGGCTACTGCGTAAACTAGTTTGCTCTGGAGCCATCCTCCCTGAGCCGAGACAAAAATCTGTGAGCTGGAGGCTAAAAAGCTGTGAGCTAGCTCACACCAACTCAGCTTAAAGGGAACACTGGTAGTGACAGCAGCAGCAGCAGCCACCATGTGGCCAATCCATCCTAGGCTTACATTGCTGCACCCCGGCAGACTTTAAAAGTTATGCTTCTTTCTACGTTTGAGCAAGAAAGTTAATCATGGTTCAACAACACTGTATTTTGGTTCTCTTCTGGCCTTGCTACGCCCCCCACCTACCGCAACAGCTGCTTGGTAGGTAGCTGAATCCGTTTCTCTGCCTTAGCTATAACCCAGCATCATAGAATATGTCTTCTTAGCGATTCTAAATGGCTAGCGACCTCCTTTCCATGGGATAGCAGGATTACTGCAGTAAATCCACACCACGGGTGATACGGTCACGTGGTGTGATTTATTAGATGCTAAAATTCTGCACTGTGCTACCTCTCTGGCAGAACCAAAAGACCAATGAGATGCCATATACAGGAACTGGAGGGAACAGGGTATACTTCACCATTTCCGCGTGAGGATTTTTATATATTTGTGGCTATAAAGGCCCCCGTAGACCACAGCTGACGGAATCCTGTTGCATTGCTCCATTTTACAGAAAACCTAGCTTTTATATATTAAAAAACAGCAACATCAAAGTCTTCAAATTCCAAATGTTCCAAAACAAGAACAACTCTAAAAAGAATGTGGATATTCCCAATAAGACTGCTCAAGGGCTCAAACTTTTTTTTGGGGGGGGGATGTCAATGAAATTTCAGCTACTGCTGTCACCCAAGGTTTATTTTTATTTTATTTGTGTATTTTTTAGATTTATATCCCACCCCCCGCCTGCAGTGCGGGGCTCGGGGTGCCCTGCAACATTTTTGAAAGAAATACAATGGAACCATAAGGTTCATCATTAAAACAGTTAAAATCCTGACTATCTCCTGGTACCTAGAAATATTCCAAAGAGAAAACATCTGGCAGACCAATAACTCCTGAAAATAAAAGGGTTATCTACAGGCCTGCCAGAACAATTCCATCTTGCATGCCCTGTGGAACCTTGACAGGTCCCGCAGGGCACGTGTCTGCTCTGATAAAGCATTTCCCTCACTGGAATTAGCACAGTACAAACAGCATTGATAGAATATAATTAATCCATAGCAGGGTTGAGTGGTTTAAGGATCACAACGTGAGCAGTGCTTGAGCTAATATATCTGTGCTCAGTCCATTTTACTGTAAGTGACTGCAATGAGAACAGTTCAATATTCAGGTATACTGGCTCATGTAAACTCACAATCTTCATTCAGATATTACCCTAATGTCCTGACCATAAATCTGGGACTTCTCTGCTATTGGGATCACTAGGGTCGTGTTTTATGGTTTTGCATACGAGTTTGGGTATCACACGAAAGCCAGTGTGGTGTATGGTGTAGCAGTTAGAATACTGGACTAGTGGCAGAGAGACCTGGGTTCAAATCACGGCATAGCCATGAATTCACTAGATGACCACATGACAGCCACTGTCTCTCAGCCTAACCTCCCTCAGAGGGTTATTGTGAGCTACGAAAAAATGGGGTAAAGAACATGTGTCCTATCTTGAGCTCTTTTGGGAAAAGACTGGGATAAAAATGCAAAAATCGACCAATCAGCTGGCATTCTTAAGGAAGCACCAAAACATAAGCCAGTTACCAGTACTATTGTAGGAGGTGCCTATGGTAAAGTTACACCTGCAACTGCCCCAGCCTCTATGGCAGATTAGTGGAAAGGAACATTTTGCTATGTGGGCAAAGCAGAGTTTCTAACCGTCACTGCTAACATGCATCTTGGCAGCCACAGATACTCCACATTTAAGGAAAATCTATCACCTCTCTGTGCATGACCCCTTGCCTTGATGGCCCAGCCTGGCCTGATCTCATCAGATTTTGGACAGGCCCGTAGCCAGGATTTTTTAAGTCAGGGGGCATTTATTTATTATTTATTTATTTATTTTTGGATTTATATCCCACCCTCCCCAAAGGCTCAGGTCGGCTAACAAGAGGGCATGAAAGCCAGAGTTAAAACAATAAAAACAGAATAAAACAGTAGAATACAATACCATACACTAAAATGTTGGTGCTCTAAAGGTCACATAGCTCGTTAATTGCAAGATGGGGTTCTGGCGTTATTTATACCAGACCAACCACATACATCCCAACAGTGCTGTCATCCCATCTTCATCCAGGAACGTCTCGCACCCAATGATGCCCATACAAGTGGTGGTATAGGTGGAAGATAGCGGTGATGGAATAGTGGTGGTGGAATAGTGGTGGCAGCGGCTCCTACTCAAAAGCCTCTTAGGGGGCACTGGCTAATTGAATTAAAGGAATACCCGGCTCCTTCCCCGCACTTGCCACTGCTCGGGGGCCCTGGGCTCGATGGGAAGTCGTGGGGCCTTGGCAGGAAGTCAGGGGGCCTAGCCCTGAGATGCCCCACTGTAGCTATGGGCCTGATTTTGGAAGCTAAGCAGCATTGGTTCTGGCTAGTACTTGGATGGGAGACCACCAAGGAACTCGAGGGTTGCTCGGAAGAGACCGGCGACAGCAAACCACCTTGCTTTGAGAACCCTACAGCATCGCCATAAATCTGCTGCGACTGGATGGCACTTTGCAGCACCACCATCTGTGCATGTTTTTCCCAGTAATAAGTATTTTGTAGGGGGGGATTCCTTTGGAAAGGCATAGAGCTACCTGGCTCTGTCCCACTGATTAGGAAGAGCGAAGGAGGGCACGTAGGCTGAGACTGATTATGCGTTGGATTGTAACTTACCGCTGCTGCATCTGGCCTCTCAGGGAATACTCTTTTTCTCTTGTTTGGAGGTTGGCGCCTGAAGCGGGATCACCACTTGCATAGATGTCAGGGACAGCTGTTGAGCGGAAAATATTAAACGGTCCTTTGATGGAAGTTACTAGGAGGCAGAACACTTCAAGTGCTTTGGTTGCAGGGCTTAAGGGAATAAGAACAGCCACCAGCTCTTCCTAATCATGTAACTATAAGAAATCCTGAGCGATGGACAAGCTGCTCTCGGCTTGCCTCGGAATTATCTCGATTTTTGCAAGCTGTCTTAAGAAAACTCCATTTTAAGACAAAGATCATTTTGAGAACACTGATGCCCTAAAAGTCTCTCCTTTCCCCAAACTGCTTGGCAAAAGGGGGGTCCAATGGGGGAGGGCTGACTTTGGCAAGATCATTACGAGCAGTGTTCCCTCTAAGCTGAGTTAGTGTGAGCTAGCTCACAGTTTTTTAGCCTCCGGCTCACCCATTTTTATCTTAGCTCAGGAAGGATGACTCCAAAGCAAACTAATTGATGCAGCAGCCAAATCGCTTGCTCACAACTTTAATGCCAGTTGCTCACACAGTAGAATTTCTGCTCACAAGACTCCACCGCTTAGAAGGAACATTGATTACGAGCAGGCAATAACTTTAATGGTCTTGTCGACTCGGCTCAGAATGGGCTCAGGGGGGGGGATGGATTTCATCATTACAGAACATCACCAGCAATCGTATGAACAGAAAATTCATCTCCGGGGTATGGGGGGGGGGAATCTGGTGTGCTGGAATGGCAAAAATGCAACCCAGGATATTATTATATTTCTCTCCCACTCTGGCATTTCAGCTACCATAGTTATTAAAACCCCTGACCTGGCTAGCCCCATCTTGGAAACTAAGGAGGGTCATCCCTGGCTAGTATTTAGATGGCGGGATACCAGGGAATACCAGGGCTGCAACGCTGAGGCAGGCAATAGCAAACCACCTCTGTTAGTCTCTTGCCTTGAAAACCCTACGAGGTCACCATAAATCAGCTGGCAAAAAAAGGGCTATTCCTGTCTGCATAGCCCCACACTGGGTTCTGTTTCTGGATCTAGAGTATGACGGAATATTGGGGGCTGGCTTATTATCCACCCAGACCAATAAGATTCCTACGATCCATGTGCCTCCCCCTCCATGTGCCTCCCTGTTCCTTTAATAGTCTGATAGCTGCAATCAGAAGGGGTTACATAAATTCTTCCTAATCGCACCCATGGAAACATTCAACTTACACCTCCTGTTTGTCACACGGCCCAGAACGGTGGAGTCTGAAACCTCTAACAATATGGCGAAGTCGAGAGCGGGTGGGAACGCAGGTGGCTCTTTCGGCGCTGTTGGGTCGACAACCAAGGTGGGCTTTTGCACACTGGTATCCTTTGCCACTGGCTGGTCCGGATCTCGCCCTGTCAGTGCCTTTTCAAGGAGCTTGGCCTGATTCACCGTCATTGGGAACCCATTTATGATCCAACCTTGATCTGGTGGCATCCGGCTAAGTGAGAACAGAATCCCAAATTTCCCATATTTAGAAAAATTACTAAGCATTATTTTTTTTGGTAGTTCTTAGATCCTAAAATATGCAAAACTCTTGGTCTGGATGTCTTAGAAGTACCAAAAAAAACCCCCTTTAAATTGAAAACAAAACCCTACATGCTCGTTACGGGGGAAAAAAATGAACGGGAAGAACACAGTTCTTCACTGCATGATCTCCTGAGGTGATTTTCATTCTATGAACACACATGTCATGAGCTATGGTTTTTATGGTCCATAAAAAGTAATAATTTTCAAAAACTTATAAATTAGAACAAAACTATTTTCCATTCAGCTTCATGTTTCTTTCTGTTCTAAATAATCATGTTTGTTTTAGGATAATTTGAAAAAGAAGTTAAGCTGCAATAATTTGAAGAAAGTAAAACAAGAAGTTAATGCTGCTACTATTTGAAGGAAGCAAAAGTAGTAGTTAAACTGTATCAAGGGGCTGACACCTTCTAACATAACAGGACTACTCCTGAGGAAGACTGTTGAAGTGAGTATAAAACCGGGTGCTCACAGACAGGGGTCGTTTCGTACAAAAAGAGCTAGGGGAACTCATTAGCATAACTCATTAGCATATGCCACACCCCCTGACATCACCGGAAGTGTGTCATAAGGCCCCACCCCCTGACATCACCAGAAGTGTGTCATAAGGCCACACACCCCGCCCCCAACGGTCCCGGCCGCCGGCGGTGGCCTTGCAGCTCCACTGCCGAGCCCCATGAGGGGCCCGGCAGTGGACCTGCAAGGCCGGCGGGAGTGCAAGGAAGCGCCGCGAAGGAGCCCCGCCCCCTGTACCTTACCCAGGGGAACTGCGATCCCCCGCGTTCCCCCCCGAAATGACCTCTGCTCATAGAGGATGTTGGACTTTTTCTTGAATATGTCAGAATTTCCTGAGCTATACTGCAAAAGTTGTTATTGATGTTCATAAGAATCACACGTTATTGTCAATTTCATCACAGTGTTTCTTTGTGTTGATGTATAACCTCCAGGTGGTGGCTGGAGACCTCCGGGGATTACAACTGATTTCCAGGTGACAAAGTCAGTTACCTGGGGAAAAATGGCTGCTTTGGAAGGTAAACTCGATGGCATTACCCACCCCCCATTAAAGTCCCTCCCCTCCCCAAACCCTGCCATCCTCAGGATTCACCTCCAAAATCTACAACTATGAATCCTGGTGAGGCTGGTGATTGCATCTGGGATATTCTACATGTAAAGTTCATGCTCTGCCCCTGAGATACATGTAGATAAAAGCAAGTACTTCTTCACTCAGTGAGTAATTCAACTGTGGGATTCATTGCTGTGGACATACTGATAGCCACAGATGGCTTTAAAAGTGAATTAGACAGATTCAGGGAGGATAGATCCATTAATGGCTACTGGCCATGAGGACTAAAGGGAACCTCCACATCCAGTGAAAGGAAATCTATGAATACTGGGGCGGATCCAACCATCCTCCAAGGAGTCTTCCTCCAGCTTAAGGAGACATCCTCCAACTCAAGCAGCTCTTTCTATATCTTCAGCACTTAATTTGCAAGAAATCTTCAGGCTGAAGGAAGGCTTCAAACTTTGCTCAACTTTAGGAGGCAACTTCAGGGGTAGGCCTTGGCCTCTGGGACTTGTTTGTCAGCCCTGCAGGGCAACTGATTGGCCACCGTGTGACCGCGGATGCTGGACTAGATGGACCACTGGTCTGATCCAGCAGGGCTAGGGTTGCCAAACCTGTTTATTCCTGCGGCGGGGGGCTCCCGGACAGCGTCCTGGTCATGCGCGCGCACCGCATGCATGTCACCCAGATGTGACGTCATGACGCCGGGCACGCTGGGGGCGGGGCCACAGCCATTTGAGGGGGAAACAGCGTGCCCGGCGTCATCACGTCACATCCGGGTGACATGCACGCCGGGGTGGGGTTTCCCCTGGGGCCCGATTCCACGGTGGCGGAAATCGGGCCTCCAAAGTGGGGGGGAAATCCGCCCCCCGGGGGGATTTGACAGCCCTAAGCAGGGCTCTTCTTTTGTTCTTAACATTCTCACTGAAGAGGCATCGGAGAAAAGAAGATAATTACCTAGTGATGGGAGATGAGGTCACATTTGCTACTGTGATGAATAGTTCCTACCTCTACAAGGAGTCTCAATTATTTGAAGGAGGCTATCAGCAAAGTGGTTATCAAGTGGTCATCATGAGTAAGAATGGAAAACCGGACTCTAACAGAAGATACATCTAACCCTACTCAAATTCGGTTAAGATAGCAGGCTGCTATTCCATACCTAATATATTCGACCAGGATGCCAACCAATAATTCATCTAGAATGTTTTTTCCTCTCTTCAACAGTGTTTCTGCAGCTGCCCCAAGCTGAGCACGAATAGAAAGCTGCAGAATTGAAAAGAGACATTTAAATAGGGATAGAAATGCTCAGTAAATTCAAAGCAAACTTACTTTTTAAAAAGTATGAATATTTCTTTAACTCTAATAAAGGGCAAACTCTTTGGCTAAGGCCGACCAGACTGGTGCTGTGGAAGTCATTTCTAAAGAACTTGCCCAGGAATTGTATGAATTATGCAGATAAAAGTCCACAGAGGATCAAAAAAGCGATGTCACATGAAGGGCCTACAGTAGACACTGTCAGAATTGTTGACTACTTTGAATAACAGACTCCTGTGCCATATCAGAAACTATTTCTGAAACTGTACTCAAGTTCGAAAGCAGGTTGTCTCTTGCTGTTAAGCAAGTTTGTCACTCGTTTGTATCTTGGGCTTATGAAATGAACTGTTTAACAAAAAAATACTTTTGTGTTAATCTTGAAACCACTTATTCTGTTACTACATTTTTAATGATCGTTTTATCTGTAAAGCGACAAAAATCTGGCTTGACCCAACTCTAACAGAATTTGGTACGCACCTAGTTATTATGATTTAAATGAATAATTATAGCTTTATCAATGACTTCTGTTTTAACATTTTAGATCTTTTAGATTTGATTACTTCAACTGTAAACTTGTATTGTAAAGTTCGTATTATGAGGCCAATGTTCTATATTCATCTTTTATAATTGAGCTTAAGACCTTTGGTCATAGAAGCTAATAGACATAAGTAAGTAAGTAAAAAATAAAAGGGAACTGAAATATTAAGGGATACAGGAGTTATTTCAGGGTGCTTTTATACGGGCTAAACATGACGTTTGTCCTGACCTGGATAGGCTGGGCTGGTTTGACCTTGTCAGATCTCAGAAGCAGAATACAGAAAGGGACCACAGTTTGTATGTGCACAAATACAACCCCCCCCCCCAGTGGAATAAATAACTTGTAATCTGTTGACTAATGTCTCCGATTCTATTTTTATGCAATAATCAAAAAACAATGCCAAAAAGACAATGTAATTTAATACCCATAAAGGCTTTCGTATAAACGTAGAATACAATCAAACAATGATAGAGATCAAATTGACAGGCTCAATTACAAACATATACAGAAATATTATGAGAAGTGCTAGGAGTTATGGCTGAATAGAGTTAAAACTGATGAGACCCTGGGCTGCATCTCCTTTCAAAACATCATCTTCCTCAAAATCAGCTTTGGAAATTCAAGTTCCCAAAATACAACCCCCCCCCCAGTGGAATAAATAACTTGTAATCTGTTGACTAATGTCTCCGATTCTATTTTTATGCAATAATCAAAAAACAATGCCAAAAAGACAATGTAATATAATACCCATAAAGGCTTTCGTATAAATGTAGAATACAATCAAACAATGATAGAGATCAAATTGACAGGCTCAATTACAAACATATACAGAAATATTATGAGAAGTGCTAGGAGTTATGGCTGAATAGAGTTAAAACTGATGAGACCCTGGGCTGCATCTCCTTTCAAAACATCATCTTCCTCAAAATCAGCTTTGGAAATTCAGCTTCAGAAGTGCTGTTAGAAAGCAGCACTCAGTATTGCAGTTCAAATCAGTGTTAATCTGGAACCTGTGTTTAAGTCACACAAAAAATAGCCTATCAAAGTTCTATAAGAGCAACACAGGCTGCTGCTTTCAATGATGTTGGAAGGGTTCTCACTTTAAGCACTTTTCATAATATTTCTGTATATGTTTGTAATTGAGCCTGTCAATTTGGTTTTTATCATTGTTTGACTGTATTCTAAATTTACGTGAAAGCCTTTATGGGTATCAGATCTTGGAAGGTAAGTAGGGTCAGCCCCAGTTAGAACTTGGATGGCCGCACGTCTTCCCTGAACTCCAAGAGGCAATTTCGCTGCTTGGAGATCAGGTGTAGGCAGCCCCCGCTAGCAGGGGCTGCCCACGCCCGCTAGAACTCTGGATAGTACCACTTCAGACAGCAGATGTAGGGAATCATTCCCGCCTCCCAATTTAAAAGCTCCCTACATAGAATAAATTAATATGCTGCAGATTTATTAAAAGAAAACGATTTCTGTCTTCATACTCTGCTTCCCTATTTTGCATAAAAGAAGGGGAATTTCCTGAGACAAAAATAACCTCAAGCAGAAAGCTGCAGTCTCCTAAGAGATCGATACTTTATGCAGTAAAAACCTCAAAGAGGGTCGATGAGTCAACAGGGTTCTTCAACTTTATCAAAAGCACAGGCTGACTTTGAGGAAAAGGCATATGTTGATAGGAAGAAACGAAAGGCTGGATGGCTGCAGCAGAGTCAATTGAAGTTAAATCCATTGAAGACGGAGGTCCTGTACCTGGGTTGTGGGGATATGGAGGTGGGCATCAGGCTTCCCACACTGGAAGGGACACCTTTGGTGCCGGCCAAGTCAGTGAAAAGCCTGGGAGTAGCGCTGGATGCCTCCTTATCTATGGAGACCCAGGTTGCGGCAGTCGCCAGATCTGCATTTTTCCATTTTAGGCAGATCAGGCCACTGAAGCCCTCTCCCCCCCCAGGACTTAGCTACGGTGACCCATGCAATGGTCACTTTCAAGCTTGATTACTGCAACTTGCTTTATGCAGGCTTACCCCGAAGCTGATCCGGAAATTACAGCTGGTACAAAATGCGGCGGTGCACCTGCTGACATCGGCGCCTGTGTGGGCTCACGTTCAGCATTTTCTTTGTCAGCTGCATTGGTTGCCGGTTGAGTACCGGATTCACGTCAAGGCGTTGGCGATCACCTTCAAAGCATTATACGGCCTGGGACCAACATACCTAAGGGACCGCCTCTTCCCATATATGCCTTGGAGAGCATTACGCTCTGAGAGTCAACAACTCCTGGTGATCCCTGGCCCAAAGGACGCCCGTCCTGCCTCGAACAGCGCCAGGGCTTTCTCTGCCCTGGCCCCCACCTGGTGGAACATGCTCCCTATTGAGATCAGGGCCCTGCGGGATCTTATTCAATTCTCCAGGACCTGCAAGATGGAGCTGTTCCACCAGGCCTTTGGCTGAGGCAGCGGGTGCCCACGCTTGCCCCCCTCCCGAGGTTGAGGTCTCCCACCCACTGATAACTGGCCATATTTACCTACACCTTCAAAGAGCCAGTTTGGTGTAGTGGTTGGGTGCGTGGACTCTAATCTGGGAGAACTGGGTTTGATTCCCCACTCCTCCACTTGCACCTGCTGATGTGACCTTGGGTCGACCTTGGGTCAGTCACAAGCTCTGGCACAGCTGTCCCTGAAAAACAGCAGTTTCTGTCAGAGTTCTCTCAGCCCCACCCACCTCACAGGGTGTCTGTTGTGGGGAGGGGAAGGGAAAGGAGTTTGTAAGCCGCTCTGAGACTCCAAGTGAAGAGCGGGATATAAATCCAATCTCTTCTTCTTCTCTTCTTCTACATCGATGGGCTGGTTTCGCCCTACGGCCAGCTGTGATTATCGATTTTATAGGTTTATAATGTGTTTTAAATTTTATTGCATTTTATTGAAATGCTGTAACCCGCCCTGAGCCCGTCTATGGGATGGGTGGGATATAAATGCAATAAATAAATAAACAAATACGGTATTTAGAGAGCCAGTAATGCCAGAAAACATAAAGAGTATATGAATGAAGAGAGGGAAGGCGGCATGGTATAGCCTGATTCTGTCTGACCTCAGACGCTAAGCAGGGTCAGTACTTGGAAGAGAGACCACCAAGGAAGACTCTGCAAAGGAAGGCGATGGCAAACCTGAGCAAGACTGTTAACGATAGGATGTTTTGCAGGTCATTAATTCACAGGGTCATGTCCTGACCCGGATAGCCCAGGCAAGCCCGATCTCGTCAGATCTCGGAAGCTAAGCAGGGTCGACTCTGGCAAGGACTTGGATGGGAGACCTCCTTGGAATACCAGCAGCTGGGAGGACAGGGGCAAGCTTTATTCAGCCACCTCTCTGAATGTCCTCCAGGCCCCCAGTAGGGGGGTCAGTCACTGGGGGTCGCCATTACTCAATGCTGCTGCTGTTGCAACCGGCTTCAACATCCACAGGATCAATGGTGGTGGAAAGTGCAGTCAAGGCACAGCTGATTTATGAAGACCCCCGTAGGGTTTTCAAGGCAAGAGATGTTCAGAGGTGGTTTGCCTTTGCCTGCCTCTGCATAGCTACCCAGGACTTCCTTGGTGGTCTCTCATCTGATTACTAACCAGGGATGACGCTGCTTAGCTTCCAAGATCTGACGAGATTGGGCTAGTCTGGGCCATCCAGGTCAGGATTTAGGATCTATGCACAGGGGAACTCAGAATCAAATCACATACCTTGCTTAAGTCATTCCCTTCTTCACTCAACTCTGTTGACTTATTTGAGGCTGATATTTGGTCAAGATCTGTGGATAGCAAACACTCCCAGTTTTTACCGTGAGATTTACCATGTTAATATCATCAAAATGTGTATGGAGTTCTTCCCTTTGCACAAGGCCACAGCAAAGGGCCCCTTCTACTCTTCTGCCTTGCAAATTGAGCCATTTCCTTAAAAACACATGATTTAAAACCAAAGGTTGGTTTTGCACCGTCTTGTCTTCCTGCCACAAATGTGCAGTTGATAAATGTTTGTACCTTGTGTTCCGTACATACATTTAAAACAATGGCTTTTTCCAGTCACACATATCTTGAGTCCCACTCAATAGTTGAAGTCATTTTCTCTCTCTAAAACTGGACATACAGTGGGGCAAACAGCATAAGAGAAGGTGAAGCAATGAAACAGACATTTAAGCACATGCCTCACTTTATGCGTAATTCCAACCTTGATTATCCATACAGAGCAGAAGTTAACACTTCCTTTGTAAGAAAAAAAAAGTTTATCTTTTGAAAATCGAAAATCACCAATAGCTGGAAATGTTTGCAAGTTACCCAGAACAGCAAGTGAGACAGCATTATAGTTATACACTTTCCCCCTCTCCAGCATGCAAAAGAACCGTGCAAAGACAAATAAGACCACTTTGGCTACAGCAGTGCAACCAATTTGCACTGCCAAAGCTAAAGCAACATCCGATTGCTCAAATGCTCAGCGGGCAGCGCAAAACACATGGGGCTTTCCTTTAAATGCTCCTTCTCCCCATTTATTGCTAAAGAACTAGCCATACAAAGTGACAGCCCTTATCATGCCTCCTCCAGGGGTTCCGGAATGTCACTCTGGAGCACTTGGTGTTTCTCCTTTTGACCATGTGGCACAAATGTGACTCACAGGAAAATGGGAGAAAACCAAGTCAAAATAGCAGCAAAAGCCAGCTTGATCAATGTGGTGAAGTGAGATGCTGACCCTGGGTGGTGGATTCAGGGGAGGGGAGGGACAGTGGCCCCCTCTCCTAAGCCCTGCCCCTACTGTTATTTCCTCTTATTTACCCCCAAGAGGCAGATCAGACAGTACACCTTCCCTCCTTTCTTCTCCAGGCATTTTCAAACTGCAGCAACCTGCACATGCGCGCTAGAGCTTTCTGAACTCTCGCAAGCCTTACTGAGCATGTGCTGCTTTTAAAGACGGCTGGTGAATGAGAAAGGAAGGGGCACTATCTCCTGTGTCAGGGCAGTGGCAGTGCAGTGGGGCAACAGTAGGACATGGAGCGAGAGAGGCGAGGAGTGTGCGGTGGCACACTCAAGCACCACTCCCCTTGTTTAGCCTCATGGCGGCTGCTGCGGTAGTGGAGCTAGTTAGTGCTAGGCCAGAGCAAGAAGTACAAAAGTACAGATCATCCCCTTAAACGAAGGTATCCTGAGCTGCTTAGTTCTGTGCTAAGAATCTCTAAGAGAGAGTTCTCAGCTTCTAACCAAACCACAGTTCAAACCAAGCCACAACAGTTAGGGTCGCCAGCTCTTGGTTGGAAAATTCCTGGAGATTCAGGGGCGGAGACTGGGGTGGGGCCTCAGCATGGTACAATGTCATGCAGTCCACCCACCAAAGCAGCCATTTTCTCCAGGAGAACCGATCTCTGTAATCAGATCACTTGTAATTCCAGATCTCCAGGCCCCACCTGGAGGTCGGTAACCCAAAGTGGAGCACATATCCAAGATAAATTTGTAATCTAGATATGTACAGTGGCTTTATCGAGCAGGACTAGTTAAAAGGGACCATTGGGAAGGTGGAGGGAGAAGGGAACAGGAACTGGAGGAAAATGTTCCAAAAAAATTTGACGTCAAGAAGTAGCAACAGCCAGCAATTGTGATTGGTAAATAAATAACTGGCAGGGCATGGTCCTTTTGATTTTTTTTTTTTATTTGAAACTAGGGGATGGCCAAAAATGGCAAGATAAGGCCAGTATGAATTTGTTATTTTAATTTACCTTTGCTGTCTTCATCCAAAGTCTTCAACGCTATTAGGGAAGCCTTGGAAGCCGCCTTCAAGACCTTGTTTTGGGGGGGAGAAAAGCCATCGGTCAGAAAGTTAATACTATGAAAGAGAAGCAGAGTTTGAGACATCGCTTTAAAAGCACTTGGGATTTTTATACAGTCCCCTAAAGAGCATAAGGAGAGCTCCGATGGACCTATGGGCAGCAACTGTGTCTTTTGCTCAAAAAGTACCTCAAACCAAGGTCCTGTCAAGCTATAAAGAAAGAAGAAGAATTCCGGGAAAGCTAAGCAGGACTAGTTAAAAAGGACCATTGGGAAGGTGGAGGGAGAAGGAAACAGGAACTGGGGGGAAATGTTCCAAAAAAATTTGATGCCAAGAAGTAGCAACAGCCGGCAATTGTGATTGGTAAATAAATAACTGGCAGGGCATGGTCCTTTTGATTTTTATTTTTTAATCTGAAGCTAGGGGATGGCCAAAAATGGCAAGATAAGGCCAGTATGAATTTGTTATTTTAATTTACCTTTGCTGTCTTCATCCAAAGTCTTCAACGCTATTAGGGAAGCCTTGGAAGCCGCCTTCAAGACCTTGTTTTGGAGGGGAGAAAAAGCCATCGGTCAGAAAGTTAATATTATGAAAGAGAAGTAGATTTTGAGATATCGCTTCAAAAGCACTTGGGATTTTTATACAGTCCCCTAAAGAGCATAAGGAGAGCTCCGATGGACCTATGGGCAGCAACTGTGTCTTTTTGCTCAAAAAGTACCTCAAACCAAGGTCCTGTCAAGCTATAAAGAAAGAAGAAGAATTCCGGGAAAGCTTAACTTCCACATATGTTACAGACCTTGAAGGGCTGATTCACATGCAATAGAGTAATTGGGCTGGGTCCGGGGTCCCCTCACCCCGTGTCAGACAAGTCAGAGGCGAATGGTGGGTTCTCCGTTCCTGTGGGTATGGTGTCCAATCTGTGTCGGGCCAATGGCGCACATGGAGAAGGAGCTCCAACCTTCCCCCCTAGGTACGCCAGCCTCCAGGTGGGACCTGCGGATCCCTCAAAATTACAGCTCAACTCCAGATTACAGAGATCAGTTCTGCTACAGAAAACGGATGCTTTGGAGGGTGATCTCTATGGCATTACACACCACTGAGGCCCCTGTCCTCCCCTGGCTCCATCCCCAAATCTCCTGGAGCTTCCCACTCTGGATCTGGCAACCCTACCTCCCCCATGCCCTGCCAGTAGCCGGGGGGAGGGGACACCTGGTAACCCCATTTTCCCCAAGTACCATTTTCCCAATCTCAAATGCTCTGGTAGATGCCCCCCCCCAGGAAATCTGTTTCACAATAGATAAATCAATACATTCTGAAGATTGCTGACATACAGATTTGCTGTAGCCATGTCCCTCTTCAGAACCACCCTCTTTCACTGGAGTAGCATTCAATCAGGGGACATGGCATACCATTTTATTTCTTTAAATTATACCCAACTTTTGTCCCCGAAACAGCTCTCATGGTTTTTTTTTCTCTCCTCCAGCTTATTCTCACAACAGCCTTGTGAGGTAGATTAGGCGGAGTGTATATGACTGGCTCAAGGTCACCCAAGACGCTTCCAGGGCAGAGTGGGGATTTGAACCCGGGGCTCCCAGATCCTGGTTCAACGTTCCAATCGCTACCGTTTCCAACATACCAAGACCAAGTAAGGCGACGCAGCAGATTTCAGTCATGATAAATGGCGGCCGAGTTGGAAACAGACAGATCTAGCTCATAGGAAACAATCTGCTTTGAAGCACTGTTGTTTTTTTGGGCCACTGAAAGAAGGCCAGTGCGTGGCAGTGTTCACACAGCTCAATGAGACTTACGCAGTGGATTTTCAGCAGAGCCGGAGACTGTGCCCTGTGTTCGTCTGTATGCAGTCGGTACTGCTTGGATTTTCCCAATTTGTCTACCAGAATGCCTCAGACCAGACCCAGCAATGTGTGCCTTGGCTGACTATGGGAACTGACCGGACAGTGCAGATTTATTAAAATGGCTACAGCAAGCAAACCTTTGGTAGTCCTCACAGGTCACGCATGAAGCGGCCATATACTGAGTCAGACAATCGGTCCATCAAGGTCAGGACTGTCTACTCAGGCTGGCAGATGCTCTCCAGGGTCTTTTGCGTCGCCTACTACCTGGTCCTTTTCACTGGAGATGCAGGGGACTGAACCTGGGACCTTCTCCATGCAAAGCAGAGGTCAGTGTGTTGGAAATGTAGTGAGTGGAATGTCGAACTAGGTTCTGGGAGACCCAGGTTCACATTCCCACTCTGCTCTGGAAGCTTTTGGTGTGACCTGGGGCCAGTTTGGTGTAGTGGTTAGGAGCATGGACTCTAATCTGGGAGAACCAGGTTTGATTCCCCACTCCTCTACATGCAGCTGCTGGTGTGACCTCGGGTCAGTCACAGGTTCTTTCAGAGCTGTTCTCTCAAGAACAGTCCTTGAAAGAGCTCTCTCAGCCCCACCTACCTCACAGGGTTGTGGGGAGGGGAAGGGAAAGGAGATTGTAAGCCACTCTGAGACTCCTTCGGGTAGTGAAAGGGGGGGTATAAATCCAATCTCTTCTCTTCCTCTTCATCCACTGAGCCACAGCCCCTCCCCAAAGATCAGGGCTGCCAGTTCTCCTATACTTCACGGCTCTACTCAACAAAAACGAAAGCTTACGTCAATTTGATTCAACGGGGATTCCTCCATTTTCATTTGGGTCAGAGAGGTTAGGCTTCCCAGTTCATTTTGATGGAAGGCTTCGATGGCCTCTGAGATCAGCTGGTCGATAAGCAACGCCTGGATACTGCAAGCTGACAGGGAGAACACACATTTGGCGTCATAAGCTTATATTTTAGGACAACCTAACAATGCTGAACATCATCACATGAGTGCTGGCCTTGTAGCATTATCAAAAACAGAGGAGATGAGCACATGCGGAATGCCCCTTAGTTTCAATGAAACATACAGAGAAAACGTTTCTGATAAGTTTGTTCTAAGCTAACTATTCCCAAATGATGACCAGAACCCACCGTTATGTCATAGGAGATTTGGGAATAATTTCAAGGCATCCAGATGGGACTGATCGGGCAATACGGCCTACTTCATTCAGTCCTTAAATCCCACTAATTGCAAACAGAGAGACCAATTCCCCACAAACGCGGCTCCTTGCTCGCTCTTCCCGTTTGCCCCGATGGTATGTGTCAATTTCACACAAGCTGCTGCATGGCCGCATTAACCCCCACCCCTCCGGCAGCTTTGTGTGATTTTCCTCGCGTCTACTCAATCCTGTTTTTTGAGGACTGAGTAGACGCGGGGAAAATCGCGCGAAGCTGCGGGGCAAAATGCAGCCGCGCAGCAGCTTGTGTCAAATTGACACGTACCATCGGGGCAAAAGGGAAGAGCGAGCCCAGAGCAGCGCTTGTGGGAAATCGGCCAGAGTTAACTTCCCCTGGATCAGTTCTAACAAATCAAATTCTGTAAGACACCTCTCAGTCCATTCATTTTTGCTATTAGCTTTGTTTTCTCATTCCAGTGAAGTAGGCCAGTGAGTCTGTTATGGCAAAAACCGAAAGGAAGTTTTGTGGCTTCTTATAGACTACCAGATTTATTGAAACATAGGCTTCCCTGGGCTAGAACACAGCTTTCTTTGCTACTAAGGGTGTTGTGTTGCTAAACACAACCAAGTAAACCTGCAATCACTAATTACGGCTGCTATAATCGATCACTGTGCTTATCTAGTAAACGTCTGAGTTTTCTTTATATGAAATATTTATATGCCACCTTTCTCCTGAACATCTCAGGACCCAAGATAGCTCTTACAGAGAAATGTCGCAACTGTACCTGTTGCATTATATGGCTTTTCAACGCACGGGTCACAATTCATCCCCATCCCCCGCCTGTTTATATATAATATACCTATTATACATGGAAAGGAAAATGTGCTTAGCACAATTTCACTTGCACAAGCTGTAGCACAATGGTAGCAGCCGCACATAGCATTTAATCTCATTTTTTTAAATAAAATGACAATATGCATATGGAGCAATGGAATCCATATGTTTATATGGTTTAATTTAATTCTGTTTTGAACTTGTGCTGTAACACATGCGGGAAAGAGAGTAGGGATTCAGTTGCTTTCACTTAGCGCAAACAAACGGCAAGGAGTGATTTTAGCACTTCTGCAAGGATGCTTAAGAAGGATGTGCTGTTGAGGTGCAACCCACTCATTGCAACCCAAACTATGGGGTTTTCAAGGCAAGAGACCGTTCAGAGGTGGTTTGCCGTCACCTGCCTCTGTGTAGCAAGTCTGGACTTCCTGGGTGGTCTCCCATCCAAGTTCTAATAAGGGCCAACCCTGCTCGGCTTTCAAAATCTGACAATCTTGGGGTAATTACACTGCCGCAAAGGATGTGGGAATCCTGGACAAGGACATGAAAATCTTGCCTGGTTGATCCTGTATCTAAATTTATGTTACTAGCGTTAAATGAGTTATTATTGAAAATAAAAAAATAAATTCAAAAAAAAGAAAAGAAAAGAAAATCTTGCCTGGGATCTAATCCAAAACCTCTGGCTGACAGAAGATTCACTTCATGCACACGAGGGCTTTAGCACACAGAAGTATGCCTCAATAAATCTGTACTGAAAAACACACACCCGTTTTGCTTCAATCGTTTTCTGCATCTAGAACAGAGTCCAGCAGCACCTTAGAGACCAACATGATTTTGTTCGGGGTGTGTGTGAACTTTCGAGAGTCAAAGGTCCCTTTGTCAGATCCCTTCATCAGATCCCCCGTTCATCAGTCACCGATCTGACCGAGTTTTGACTCCTGAAAACTCATTCCCCCCCAAAAAACATTGTTGGTTTCTGAGGTGCTACTGGACATGATTCTAAGCTGTTCTACTGCAGACCAACATAGCTTACCCTCAGAAACCATTTTCTACAGAGCACACAAAAAAGAGACAGCATAAAACTATCCTTTCCAGGGGAACCAATTTAGGGGCCAGTGGCGCCTTTAAGACCAACAAAGGCTTATTCAAGGTATGAGCTTTTGTGTGCACGCACACTTCATCAAATATCTATCCTTTCTTACCTTCTTCCAAGAACTTGAGACAGGTGGTTTTCCCACTACAGAGCTTCCCCAAAATACATCCCTTGATAGGAAATGGAGAAATCACAGGTGGTGGCAGCTCCGGTTCTGGGGGGTAGACAATGCCCATCATCCGATAAATCACATGACCCAGGATCGGATTGCTGGGAGGAGGTTTATTCGCGCTGATCTCTTCCGGGGGGGCCCACTCTCCGATCATAGTCTGCAGGAAGACAAATAGCGATATAGAACTGAACACTCCCCCCCCCCAACCTCGCCAAGCTGTAAAAGGTCAAAAATTAAAGTGGCCATCGTCTGTATCCTTATCGAGCAGCAAGTCCCACTGAACTCCGTAGGGCTTGTTCCCCAGGAGACACATAGAAACTTGGCTGCGTCATTTGGGCACTAGGTTTCTACAAGAATTTTCATGGTGGTTTACCAATAATAATTGAAGGGGCCATTGCTCAAGTCTTGCAAATGGAGGACCATGGCTTCCTTGCTTGAGTCAATCGATCTCATGTTGGGTCTTCCTCTTTTCCTGCTGCCTTAACGCTAGGAAAAATTGAAGGCAGCAGGAAAAGAGGAAGACCCAACATGAGATGGACTGACTCAAGCAAGGAAGCCACGGTCCTCAGTTTGCAGGACCTGCGCAAGGCTGTTAATGATAGGATGTTTTGGAGGACGTTAATGTGTCGGAAGAGGCCACCTGATGGCACTTAACACGCACGCAATCAAAGGGTCTGGGGAAACTCCAAGCAAACCTAATTCTTTCCTGATTTTGCTAAACTCCCATTATATTAAAGGGTTTTTTTTGTCTCAACATTTTAACATATTTTGTACATTTGTACAGGTTATCGATTTGAAGTCGAAATAGGGGAAATAACTTAAATCAATACCCCATTAAGAAGCCAGAATCAATAATAGAAATCATGAGCCCTAACAAACTTCAGTGGCACTGCTTACAACCAATCCTGACTAGTAATATTGACATAGATCCATAGCACTAAGTAAATTATTCTTAATTTCCTAAACAAAGTTTTGTCAGATTCTCGGTTGCTCTTTACCAAGGTGCCCTGAGCTGGATGGTCCAGGTTAGCCTGATCTTATCAGATCTCGGCAGGTAGGCAGGGTCAACCCTGGTTAGTACTTGGACGGGAGATGTCCAAGGAAGACCAGGGTTACTATGTAGAAGCAGGCAACTGCAAACCCCCTCTGTCCATCTCTATGGGGGTCACCATAAGTTGGCTGTCACTTCACAGCACTTTCCACCACCATTAATAAGATGAAAAGTTCAGCATCTACTAACAGCGCATTTTTCATTACTGCTCCCCTTAGAGGATGAACAGAGTTTACTCATTCATATTTGAGGAAGAATATGAAGTTATGCTTCCTGACATCAAGAATAAATGCCGGTAAATACTGGCGTGCCGTTAGATTTCAGCATTACACTGGAAAGCAAACTGCACCTCAATCCAAGAGGGCATGTCAGGGGCAGAGCTTAAAAACGGTCATTTATTATAACCTTGGATTGCATTTGCACCTCCTTCTGTGGACACTTTGATATATTAAGCTGAGGGAGGACAGTACCTCACGCCTTGAAAAGGAAGAAATTATTTAATTGAGGGGGGGGAGCAGCACATTTGCCTTGAGGTGCAGTCCAAAAACAATTTACCACCTTTCAAAACCCATGGATTTCAAACAGTTTAGAATATGGTAAGTCGTCTTGGGATCGCACTGTCCAGTGCCGCAGTCTCGATGACACAGAGAATGCCCCAGTCCCATTAGATATTTTCATTGGCGGCCCTCTGGATCACTACACTCTGCAATAGCAATAATCTGTAGGATCCTACGGATTCCCTGAATTCTGGATGGTGTCTGTCGGGTAAACAAGGCCACCCAACGGTGTTGAAATGTCCAAATGGATCACAATATTCCATATAAGTAGGACTTTAACCAGTCTGGTCAATTTGAGTCTACTGTTTTACCCAATAGTGAACAAAGCTATGGTTTAAGTACACTTAGATTGGACTCCAGTAGCACCTTAAGAGACCAAAAAGAAAGCATATAAGCTTTCGAGAGTCAGCTGATAAAGGGGGCTTTGCCTCTTGAAAACGTATCCTCTGAAATTCTTGCTGGTATCTAAGATGCTGCTGGTTTCAGTAGTAACACCATCCATTACCTTTAGCAGCCAAAATGTGGCATTCTCCACAGAAAGCTTTGGACTAATTTGACCTTTCAGCGTGTAACAGCGTTCACGCTTTAACAGCTGAGTTTCCTAGAACAGCTTTCATTTGCAATACTCTTCATTTGAAAGACAGCACATTCCTCGGGTAGCAATTATTATAATTTTTGCTACTTTTCAACGTTTAATGTCACTCAGACTATGAGAGGGGATGTTGCCGTCTTCGAGTAGCAAACATGCCTTTTTTATACATGCAGACCGAACAAGAGTGGCTATTTTTTTCAATACAACTGCATGGAAGATGCTCTGTTATACTACTATGCCAGCAAGGAGAACAGGGCAGCACACAGGGTTATTCCTGCCTTTTTTATCCCTGTGAGGAAGGCTAGATGGCAAGAGAGCAATTGGCTCAAGATCACCCACAAAACTGCCTAACGGGGTCGAAAGCTGAGTCCAGGTCTCCCCAGTTCAGTCTGTCACTCTAACCACAGCGCCATAGAGTTGGAAGGGGCCTCCTGGGTCACCTAGTCAAACTGGCTCCCCATGAAAAGCCATTTTGTGAAGCAGTTCACTAAGTGGATGCAAGGATTTTCCGTCAGATTGCCACCATTCCTTTTTTTTTTGGCCTCATGATGGGCCCTGAACTGCATGGTCCAGGCTAGCCTAGTGTCTCCAGATCTCAGAAGCTAAGCAGGGTCAACCCTGGTTAGTATTTAGAAGGGAGACCACCAAGGAATACCTGGGTTGTGACGTGGAGGCAGGCAATAGCAAACTATTTCTGAACGTCTCTTGCCTTGAAAACCCCATATAGTCACTATAAGTGACAGCAAGAAAAAAAAATAGTTTGAGAGAGCTTGGTGAGAAATCAGATTCAGCGGAATGTTTTTGCTGAGTGGAGAAACTTCAGCATTGTTGTTGTTCAGTCGCACAGTCGAGTCCGACTCTTCGCGCCCCCATGGACCAGATCCCGCCAGGCCTTCCTGTCTTCCGCCGTCCTCTGAAGTTGGCTCAGTTTCATGTTCGTTGCATCTATGACACTGTCTAACCATCTCGTCCTTTGCCGTCCCCGTCTTCTTTGACCTTCAATCTTTCCCAGCATCAGGGTCTTCTTCTCCAGTGAGTGCTCCCTTCTCATTGGTGGCCAAAGTATTTGAGCTTCAGTTTCATTATCTGGCCTTCCAGGGAACAGTCAGGGTTGATTTCTTTTAGGATTGACTGATTTGATCTTCTTCCAGTCCAAGGGACTCTCAAGAGTCTTCTCCAGCGCCATAGTTCAAAAGAATCTATTCTTCAGCGCTCGGCCTTCCTTATAGTCCAACTCTCGCAGCCATACATACTGGAACATAAATGAAGGCCACACTGCAGTGTGAACTGAGGTGAAGACATTGATGAAAATAAATTCCTGGTATTTTGTTCTTTAGTTTCTTTTTGACAGAGAGTTTCATCAAATGTGTGTAGTCATCTTTGAACAATGGCTGAATTACAACTTCCTATCCCTTCGCATCACGCTTATTATTGGACTTCTACCGCGCATGTCGAAAATTTAATATGCCTCTTTATGAACCCACTTCACTTCCCCTTTCCTTTAATCTGATCAAAGCTCCTTGACTAAAAGTATTGAGCAATCAAAAAATCTTCCGTTAAGTAGCTTCTCAAAATGGTTCAAAGGCAAGACAGTAGATAAAAGATGGATACACTTGCTAAAAAATCTTCTCCATTAGGCGCTGGCAAAGGAGTAGAGGAGTTATGGGAGATGGTCAAAGGGATTTAGGCGGAAGAAGCAGGAAAGACAAAAATGCATCCATGACCTAGAAGTTATCTGTGTCCAATGTGATATCAGAACACCTAGTCTAAAAGGTCACCTGACCTGACACGTTATGTTCTCTGCATCCTAGCTTATGAACAGTAAGAGCTTGAACACACGATGCTGCCTGATAAGGTCACTACTGTCTACTTAGACTGGCAGTGATCCTCCGTGGTCTCATGAGGTCTTTCACATCACCTACTACCAGATCTTTTAAACTGGAGATGGTGGGAATCAAACCTGAGACCTTCTGTATGCCAAGCAGAAGCTCTACCACTGAGCCATGGCCAGTCATGGCCTTCCATTTCCTGATAAGGAGCTAGAATAGTGAGAAGCTCTGGTCTTCTTTCTTTTTTACTTCTGACTTCTTGGCTGCAGGAGAACCCATTGGCTCCAACAGTCTATTTTTAAGTTTGAAACCTGTGGAATCAAGATTACAAATAGCACAACAAATACCACATTTTCATTTTAGCATTCAGCGCACAGGATAAGATGTGGTAGATATATTAACTGTGTTTGAGATATTGGCTTTGAGTCTTCATTTTAAAATATATTCATACTAAAGGAGCAAGGTAAACTCAACTTGCATGCATTTAATAAAGAAATGACTGCAGAGAATTAGCCAGGTGTTAGACAAGCACCCCAAATCAGCAATGGATATCTATGCTCACAGCTGATACAGGTGCACACCTAAATGCAGACGCGTATTTCCATGCTCATTTGGTCCCATTCATGCATATCCTTGTGCAGAGCTACTTGGTGCACACAAGTGCAGCTACAGCTAGGCCAAGGCAATAATGTTTTTAAAGACTACAAATGTAAGGAATTGCTTTGAAAGTAGCGGCAGCGAATCTTTCATTATAAAATAATGGCATGGTGAAACTATCTGTGTATGTGTGTGCATACAAAAATGGAAACAACCCACTGGGAAGAAAAGTAAATAAATGTAAGAGCAGTACAAATATCCACATAAATAAAACATCTTTATGAAAAGAAAGGTCAGATTAGTTTCTTTGCATTGTTCTGCTTTGGATGACTCTGACAACATGGGTGCTAACTAACCCAAATTGAGACTGAGAATATTTATTTGTCTTTTAACATTAGCACATTAATCACTGCACTCAGGGGATTTCAAAGGTGTGCCTAAAACTTCTCTGCGTGTGGACTGTAATGGATGGGGCAGCTCCTTTACATGTATGGACCTTTCCCCCCTGCATTACAACAACAAGGAAGACCTTAAACTCACTGTGTGCTCTTCTATCTCAGCCAACCTTGCCAGAATGGAGACCCACAGGTGTTTATTGTTTCACAGTTTAGAAACTAGAACAGAAGCAGACTGGAGAGTACTCAATAGAAGAATGTCTCACATAGGTTCGACAGCATGTTAGTTATCTGTGAAATTTCTTTTCTGTATCCCTAGGCTGCAAAGAACTCGATTTGGATGTTACCTGGGTGGAGCATCTGCCGCTTCCAGAACTCAATCCCGTGCTGCAGCAGTAATGTGGACATAACCACATCTGTGCTGTTCCTCATTGGGGCAGGCAAGACTCATGTGGTTCCCACAAAGAGGATCTGCTCATGCCTCTTGATTACTCTATCCAAACCTGATCAGTGTGGCAGGCAATCAAGTCACAGGAAAAGCAGTGACCATGGTGAGCTAGTAAACATGTGGACTGGGCCCAAGTCTACTGAAACCACAAGAATGTACCCACTGATTTCATGGTGACCATTCAACTGTAGTCAACACTAGTGTGGCACTACCAGTAACAAGATGCCAAGATTAAGTGGCATATGAATTACCCTTCCAGGTTAAAAAAAAAATTGTTCTTCGAAGGAAAGGCACATTCAGAATTATAAACCATTTATATAAACAAGGAAAGCAGCTTTCATGTGCAGAGGTAAAACCTCAAAGAATGAATTGAAACAAAACAATTTAAGGCATCCAGCACACCAACTCATAACAAAGGTTTACTATGTAAAACAAAAATAAAATGTACCAAATTCAGGATGTGGGCACGAAGAGAACATAAAGATGTGGTAATCATTTCCCTAACAAGATGAGGGGAAAAAGCTATTTGCAGAAGTGCATCAGAGACGTAAAACTGAAAAGACCCAAAACCAATGAAAAATCCCTTTGCCCAGTGGAGCTGAGTTGATCATGGTGAAACTTGGGAAGTAAGTACACCAAAAAACTTAACAGAAGAAACACATATTTAGCATTTAGTTTTATAACTGGAGCCTATTTTCATGAGACATCACCTACCCTAGCCATGGTTTTAACGTACGATTCCTACAGAGATGATGACGATAACAGCTATTTCTCAGAACCATCTTATAAGTCACGATATTAAAATTAGCTGAGTACAAAATACCAAGAATCTGACTAGAAAGTACTAATGTACTAACT